TTATAAGTTGTACGAATTATTTTCTTTTCACTAGTGTCATTTAAAGAATGTTTAATTTTTAACTCTTGTGTTAATAGAAATCTGTTAATATTATTACTGGGAAAAATATTAAAAACAGAACAATAGTTTAAAATATAATTTTTATGTTCCTGAGTTCAATTTATGAAAAGACGGTTCTAATCATTCTCTATTATCGAATTCCTATTGTGAGACGTTCTTACTGTCGGAAAATGATTTAAGCAATTATTTTCAAACATTGACTTAAAATGGTTTCTCATTTTGTTATTATCAGTTTCATAATTTACACGGTTTGGCATTACGTTAAATAATATAGATGTTGCAAATGCTATTGCATGTACTCCACACTCAACACTACCAAAAGGTTGTTGATCAACAGCTTCAAAAACTACTGTTGGTTTAAAAGGGAACAATCTAATTAAATATTTTATTTGCTGCACATTTAAACACCCCTTATTAAGGCTATCAAAAATATAAAGCCTTACTCTATAGTAATAGACATAAATTCAGTGACCATAATTGTTATTACCGCTAAAAAGTATTTAAATATGTTTATCACCGTCTCTAATTGGGACAATAAAATCAAGAATTTCTACATACAAAGCACTTTGCATATTAAAAAAAGAATTGGAATCTTTTCTTAATAAATCTTCATATTTGTACATATGCATGTAATTTAACAATTTATTTCTATTTTCAATAATTTTTAAATCTTTATCACTTAAAATAACATACTCTTTTATGTTGGCCATATTATACTTCGTTTAATTTTTTTTTGATGCATGAAAATCTAAATATCTTTAACCGTTTTGCTAACTTTCTCTAATATAACCAATTTTGCCTTTTATTAAATATAACCAATTTTTTCTTTAATTCAATACAACTAATTTTACCTTTTACTAAATATAACTAATTTTTCCTTTAATTCAATATAACCAATTTTTACTTTAATCCAATATAATTAATTTTGCCTTTTATCCAATAAAACTACCAAATATCCAAAAGAATGAGAGAACTATGAGTAACTATGAATCAGTAACTACTGATCAGCCACTAAGTGCAAAAAGGACACTCTTATATGAGTAATCAGTAGTTCATTATAAATGACATATATACGTATTTATACCTGTATTAAAACCCCGGAACAAATACCACAAAAGAACCAACCATTGGACAATAGAACCTTTGTTAATGAGGATTAACTCGGAGTACATAATGAAATGTAATAAAAAATTATAAAAATTTAAAATATTATTAAATTATGAGTGTTTTGAAACATTTGTTAACGTTATTTAATGCAAAACATATATATGTATTTACAAAGTATGAAGCAGAATATTATTATTGAAACAATTATTCATTATTTAATAATTAATAATAGGTGTCCCACTGTTTAACACAAACCTTAAAAACAAGAAAAATGTATCAAGTTCCAAAAACTTGAAATTTTATGGTAGTACCAAAAAGTGTCCAAAAATATATAAAATTGACATATTAATATCTCTTTGAAAAAAAGTGTTCCACTGTTTGTCACTCTCCCCTACATACATATATACATATAAATGAATATTTTTTTTTATTTTTAAAACAAAAATGGAAGAAGATTAAGATTTTAGACGATGATGTTCTTATGCCATTTTCAATCGTCTAGATAGAGAAACGCAATGTTAAACAAAGAAGTACTTATGTTATATTTCTTGGTGTAAGAAAGAAAGGTATGCGTTACCTATTCAGTTTTACACTTTCTTTATAGCTTTTTCACGTGATAAAGGGAGAAAGAAATAATTACCTGGGTCCTCAGAGTTATTAATTAATCCTTCTTAACAGATTGCAGGTCAAGCTAACCCTCATTTGCAAAATAAAGATATACCTTTTTCTCTCCATAACTTGTTCTTTTCTCTGTCACCGAAAACCCAGCAGGGGTCCGGACGGAATGAATGAATGAATGAATGAATGAATGAATGAATACCAAGATTATTATAGTTAATGTATTTAATCTGAAATAAGTCCGAAATTTTAACCAGGATCTTCCAGTCAAGAGAGGACCTGACGTCGGAACGAGGAAGAAGAAAAAGGAGGCAGCACTTGTGAAGAAAATTGCGAAAGTGACGCGGAAGCACCGAATCCTAAGTAAACCAAGAAGAAGAAGGTGACGAATGGATCTACAATGATAATTCAAATTGCAACGGGAAAGACACATGCCAACGTACTGAGCAAACTTCGTAAGGAAATGAATCCGGAAATCAGTCACAAGTGGTTCGAAAGTGCAAGGCCTATGAGAAAAGAAGATCTGATCAAAATCGGTGGAGACTCCAACAAAGAGGCATTTAGAGATCACAAAAGTGGTTGAAAGCATAAGGAAGGTGTTGAGGATGGATCAAAAGGTTACATTGGAGATTCGCGACCTCGATTGCCTTACCCAGGACGAAGTGCATCAAAGGATGCAGGAAAAGCTCGAAAAGCCAGGAAGCAGAAAGGTGACGGTCTTAGGACCCAAAAAGCAAGGGTTGAAGCTCGCAGTTGTAATCACCGCACCGATCAAAAAGAGCCCAAGTTTTTAGGGTAGATGATTAATTTAAAATTAATTAATAATTTAAAATGTCGGATCCAATATGGGGAACGAAAGAAAATACTCTGTCAAATGTATCATTCTCAAATTAAATTTTTATTTTCTTACCCTAATATTGCTAATTCTCCGCATGCATGATAAAGAAAAGTCATGAAAATTGCATCTGTGCTCACAATAATTGTAATCATTACTGTATTAGTGTGACATATATGTAGCGTAATCCAAAAATAATTTTCATCTTGATTCACATAATATTCAACGTCAAGATTAATTTTTTTAGGACGAGACTGATTTAATGGCTTTATAATATCCAAAACTAATGGAAAAATATGTTCAACAAGAAATTCAAACCAACAGGCACAAATAATAACTGTAAGTGAGAAAGATATTTTCTTTTAATTTTGAAAAAAAAGGAAATTAAAAAATTTAATTTCTTACCCATGAATAAAATAATAAATAATCTTCCTTGATAAGCATGTTTATAAAGAATTTTAAATTCTCTTTCCGATTTCCAAATAAACCAATCGTTTTTCATTTTTGACAAAAGTTCCTCTATCTGATATTAGTAAAAAAAAAAGAAATGATAGTTCGCATTTTTTTAGTACAAAATTTTATTCATACTTACATTATCTTTTCTGTTACAAGCTATGAGATAATTTAAACTAATAAGGCTCACTAAATACGATGGAAACCAATGAATCAATACATCCATTTTACCCCAATGTTCTGTTAATACTAGTGTCTAATAGAAATTTATTAAATTATTTTCAATTTATTTTAAATGGAAGTTTTTTTCTATTTCAATAAACTAAATTTTTAAAAAGTAAATTTATTTATTTTTTTAATCCTTTATGAACCTTTCCTAATTATTGCATATTGCAAACTTGAAATTCAAATTTTGTAATTATTTGTAATTAATTAAAAATTATTTTTAAATACTTATTATTCTGTATTTAAGTTTTTGGTCCTGTTGCAAAATGAAAAACATTACCTGCGGTACAAGTAAACTTATAATACTAATCCAATGAAAAAAAGAAATAGTTCGTCGCATAAATTTATTTTGATACGGCCAATATCCAACTGAACACAGGAGATATTCATTTATTCTATAGAAAGTTTTATAATAATCAATATTCACTGTGGACTTCATGGCAAGTGACTTTATTCTATAATAACAGTTTTTCTAACTTTTCCCATAAGTATGAATGTACTATAAGTAAATTTATTCTTCTAAAACTTTCGTATCGGCAATATCTATTTTTTAAAAGTTTTTAATAATATTCCCTATAAACTATTAAATTTTACCCGGAAATGTGTTAAAACTTTTAACAAGTGAATTGTTGGAAACTAATGTTAAGTTCAAGATACGAAGGTTGTTTATATATAGTTTTTATAATCGATACATATCATGTAGCAAGGGTTCGAGAAGATCCTGGAAGTGGAATTCTTAGTAAGTGCATCAATATATCTTGAGAGGTACAACATGGTATTCAGCATAGCCATGAAATAGATTCATTGCTAGACATACATTAGAAAGGGCTTATAGCAAAAGTGGATTTCAATTTGGGTGCAAGCAAAAATTGGATAAAAATATTCCGAATAAAAATGGGTTAAAATATTTTAATTAATTAATCTATTTAGAAGAAACATTTATAATTTTTTATAGCAATAAAAAAAAAATAATATTTGTAAATGAAAAGTCATCAATATTTCTTCCAAATAGATAAATTAATTAAAATATTTTCATCCGTTTTTGCTCGCAAGGCTTTTAACCCACTTTTACTCTAATTCGAATTATAACCCACTTTTCCTATTAGCCCCTCAATGAAGAAAGAGCTTTGTTTTTTCCCTCTAATCATTGAATGTGTCTATATTGGTTAGGAAAGGATCTATTTTCATTGCTTAAAATAAAAATGTTGTTTCTATCAGGTGACGAAATAGCGGAGCAGTATTTAGTTCCTTAAAGCTACGTTTAGATTAAAAAAAATATTTCGGTGACAATTTACATTTTTTCGTAATATTAATCTTGGACATTAATTTATTAACTATTGCATTAATTTACAAAAAAGTTTTAACAACCAATATGTGAGCTTACAAAATTAACAATTTTAACAATATTTTTTAACTCAATTCATATATTTTAATTTAAACACGTAGCTGATAAAACTAAATACTACTGTGGTATTCAATATGTTGCACTAACTCTATTCCCTGATATAAAATTAATAAATTTTGCTACTTTTACTTTTCTAAATTAGAGAGGGCATTAGGAGTCTGATTTTTAGTTGTTTTTCGTGATTTGTTTGGAAAGGGATAAAATTATTCAAATAAAATAAAACAATGATATCATTTTATACATTTTTTATATATCATTCCTATATATATATTACATATGATGATTTTAACAGTCCACATAAAATTTTGTACCAGAATCTTTTAGTTCTTTTAATTTTATCATTACTTTTTTCTGCTGCTCAAATATACTCAAATTTTCATCATTATGAGTTAGATTTGTTTTTAAATCAACAGAAGTAACCGGATACTTTATTCCTTGAATTTCTTCCCAAAAAATTAAATTTTGTCCCTTCCTCCGAAGTCTTTTTTTGATAATTAATTTTGTTTCTGGAAGCAGAACTGTTTCTTTTTCATGAGGGTAAAGTGTTATATTAACAATATTTGCACTCAAAAATGGCTTTGGAAAATAAATTTCATAAATTTCTGACATCTTGTTAGTTTCATTTTTTCTATGTTGCGCGAATCTACGTGCTACATTTTCACTTGTTGTTGTTGAAGTAAATTTTGTTAATTGTTCCATTGTATTTTTATAATGTTCTTTATACCATGCTTTGAGTTTACTTTGTCCTCGATACAATATCGAATTATGATATTTATATGGATCTTTCGATTGTCTAATTGCTAATCTGTAGAAAGCATTTCTCATTTGTCTACCTTCATCCGTATCATCTGTTATTCGTTCAGAGCCAAATTGAGTGTAATGAATAATTGAAAAGCAATCTTCAAAACTTAATACAGATGACAGATTATTACGTATATATATATAATTTACTATTTTATACATTTTTGCAAATTCATATAAACCTAATTTGTTCCAATAAGGGTTCTGAGGAGAAATTTTTTTATGATTGAGGTGAGAAATCCACATTTCTTTATGAGTTCTGTACATCTTCGTTAATCTATTTGGACAATTATTATCAAAATTTTTCGTATGCATTAAGTCATAAAACAATTCTGGATCAACCATTCCTAAAACAGTGAGTCGTGCAATTTCATATCTCGCTTTTTGTTTCTTATTTAATTCAGAAGCATTGCTGCAGATGCATAACATAATAAGAAGAATAATTTCCAAAAGAATTACAATTTTTGATACAGCCATGATTGGAATCTAAATAATTAATATTAAAAATTATTATACCATTTTAATTTATACATATTTTAATAATATTGTCATTTGAAATAATTCGCAACTAAGTTTCGTTATATAATGTTGAAAGTTGAAATAGAATATAAGTAAAAGAAAGTATAAAAAAAAAAATAAAACACATCTTACCTTCTCCAAAAGCAGTGTTGTAATTCACTTGTAATTAATTTTAAGTGATTTCTGTATTATATACACATTAGTGTAGTTCGTCATTATTTCCCAAACTGATAAGAACATTCTCTTAAATAAATATATATCACATAAATTAATATTAATATTTTAATAATTTCATGAAAAATTATAATAAAATATAACTATTGTATTGTAATATAATTGTTAGGGACGAATTTTCCGTCACTTTATAATTTTTTTAAAATCATTATTTATCAATTATTTTTCGAATATTTATATAATATAAAAAAAACTACACACATTTTTGTGTTTCATATTGTGAATATTTTTAATTATTGTTTCAAAATTATCTTTAGCAAAAGTCTTGTCTTTTCTTATAATTTACTTAATAATGAATAATTAATTTGAAATTAATTACAAATTAATAACATGATCTAAATTCTCATTATGTTATTTAAATATGTGGGTCTTCAATATTATGACCACTTGCACATATCAAGTGATTATTTATTATTTATCACGTTAATAATTAAAATTCTTACAAAAATTAACTCTATAAATGTTCATTGAACCTCACAATACTAATTTTTATAAATTTTCATCAATTTAAAGCTTTTTTTTGATAATTACCTAAATTCGACTTAGATTCGCCCCAGCTGGGTCGAATTTAGGTAAATCAAATCCGCCAGGGTTACATTGAATTTTTTTTTTAAATGTGTTTTTAATCTTCCTGCTTATTCAAATAACAATTTATAACACATTTCTATTATTTCAACACTTAAAAAAAATTCAATAAAACCGTGAAATATTCCCTCAATATCACTGGAATATTCCTTTAATATTACCCTCAATGTCACTGGAATATACCCTGAATGTCACTGTGGAATATTCCCATGATGCGGACATTTTTGATTTTCCTGAAAGATCATGGGAATATTCCACGGTGGTATTCAAGGGATATTCAGGGGATATACCGTGCTGCTGCAAAATTTTTTATTAAAAATTATTAAATAAAGAATTCTCAATGTGATTGTGTATTGCTGGATTGTATATTTTACTGTATTTGTTGTGTTATATCATTGTAAATCACATTGTATAATATTGTATTCGAGCTCCTTTGTATGGATTACTGATAATCCTTAGACAAATAAATAGTATATACCGCGCTGCTTGGTAAGTAATATTAATGAAAGTTATAAGAAGAGTAGGCGATTGAATGTATCACTAACTCAGTTAAAAATGCAACGTTGTTAAAATTGCATGAAAATAAGGAGAAGTCAGTTGCAAAAGCAACTCTCCTTCTACATGAATCGGGAGTGGATCATTGTCACCAATCTCATTGTTGTAATAGGAGTTTAAATAGTCGGTCTTTAGACAAGAAAATAGTTCAAGTGTTCAGTATCATTTCCCGCAGAGCGGATGTTGTGTTGATTCCCGCAAAAAACGGATGATTATATATTATTGAAGTCCCACAAAAAGTGGTTGAAAGTATTGAATATACCCCAAGTCAGGGTTGATTTTGGTTTTTAATTTTAAAAGTGCAAATGCTTTAAGAATATAAGAAGTTAAATAGATAGTATTGAGAAATTCATATTAAATAAAAGTATATAAGAGAAGACTTCCGCATTTAAATTTGTAATTTAATTATTATTATTTTTCTAAAATTTTCTTTTGTTAATTTAACTTCCGTCTTTAACATAATAACAGTCATTATTTCTTCCCATATGAAAAAAATGACGTCAAATAATATGTAAATTTTTGTTATCTTAAGCTAATCAATTACGTCTTATTTTGTGTGAATATTTTGTCTTAAATGACGTAAAATTTGATGTTTATATACGTAAATAAGAAAGATTAAGAAATGACGTCTTTTTTGACGAAAAGTTAAACTTTAAACAATGATAACGCAATTGCAGCTGATATTCCAAAATTGATTTGGTTTAGTTAATTTAGGATTTAATTATTAATTAATTAAATTTTCACACTAAACATTTATTTAAGTGGGATACTTACATCTTTACCTAACTTTCAATAAACATTGCAATTAAATATTCCAAATATTGCAAGTAAATATTTTTTAAATTTTTCAGGAAAGTTTCGTTGCTGTGGGGGTTGTTATAAATTCTATGCAATTTCAAAAAAAAATATTTAGGTACTATCTGGTAATATGTGGGTAATTGCTACACTTGATTAAAAAAAAAATCTTTTACACGTAGTTAGTAAAATAAACTCTTAATTTTTCCAAGTCGTTTCTACATTACATTTATATCTTATTTGCTAAATTTTACATATATTCTCAAACATTGTATTTATGTGTTTATCTCATTGATGACAACATTGTAAAATAAGACATTGAAGCTCGAATCATCTATAAAACAAATTACATTTAGTGATTTTTTATAAAATATTGATAAATATTTCGATCAGAAATTAACTTTTTAAGAACTAGAAGAACTATATAGCAAAAAATAAAAGTATACCCCTGAAAAGCTTTCTATATCCATAACATAAATTTGAGCAGCGGTAATTTTGCAAGAATCTTTAGTTTTCATCATTATTTGAAGTAACATTTTTCTACATTTTAGTGGCATATTATACCATCGAGAGAAATATCTAAACAAAAATAATTAAAACCATTGAGAATATATAATACCCAATGGGAAATTTGCCAATGCTTGGTTCAATATTGGTCCACGGTTGGCAGGCAATCTTTTTTTCTTGATAAAACTATTGGCACCCAATATTGGAACAACTGGCTCCCATTGTTGGACCATTATTGCAACCAATGGTTTATTTCCCATTGGGTAAATATACAAACATTAATAAAGTTATTCTTATTTACATATTATCAAAAAGTAAGCAAGTATTATCAGTTAGTCGTTGAGACGATAAACTCAAATAAAACAAACTAAACATGTGTGCTACAACAAACAATACAAATCTTACAGCTTCATGTGGTTTATCTAAATTAATTAATACCTGTAAAATATCCATATTAAAAAATAATTTATTATTCCGTTATTATTATATTCTTGATAGTGAAATAATAATAAAACAAATTTTGTTTACCAATATTCCAATGAGGCTTATAATGACAACAGTAGTTAGTATTTGCAATAAATAAGAGATTGCAAATAATGATTCAATTGAAGAGATAAACCTGATATAAAAAACCATATAATCGTTACATTATTTCCACAAATTATGAATATGCAACGAATGTGCAACGAGTTCGTCGCACATTCATTATTTCGAACATTTACTTTAAACTACTCTGTTAATTTTAAATGTCAACATATCAAATTATATATTAACAGATTATACTAACTCTAAACCAATGCAGTGTCTTTCTACACATTTTGAAATTTCTTGAGAAATTATGTCTTCCTCTTCAACTGAATTAATTGCCTTAGGTATGTTTTTGTTAATATTTTTTAGTTTATTACTGTCATAACAAATAATTATTAAGTTGTCAAAATAAGTATTTCAAAACTAAAAATTAATAGTTTACCCTAATGCGAAAAATATTCCACTTGCATGTTGTGTAAATATAAGAAATAATGTATCAAAGCCAACTGGAGGAATTATTTTCGAGAATGCACTAATAAATATATGAAGTTGTATCCAATAAAAGTAATCCCTATTGTCCTCTACTCCATAATCAAGTTCATAAATAAAAATTCTTTCTCGAGTTTCATTAAGCGGTGCAATTTGATCAATTAAACATGGTATTAATGGCATGCATAGATAGAAAATTGTAGTCAAACCTATGTAACCTATCATTTTAATTTTTATTAGTCATAAGTAAACAAATAATAAATCTATGAATATAATTTTATATACGGAACGTGTTTAATTCCGCGAGATGGGATATTAGTATCGAGGCGATAAAACGTCAAGGGGTTGCGAATGGGTACGAAGGATCTATAATCATATGGAACGTTATGTATGACGGATTCCTGAGGATGGGCTCATTCGAAGATACGTTTCTAACAAGGTTCGCGAATGACGTGCTTTTAATGTGTTGCACGGACGAGACGAATTTTATAAAGATAAAACTCGATGATAGTCTATGACGCAAATAGAGTTTTGGTTTGATCGACATGGTCAGAAAATGGTTTTTGAGAAAACCGAGGCTCTACTTGTCACAGACCAGAGAGACACAAAGCCATCGAATGCATGGGTAACCTGTCGAAGATGATGACAAATATTGGTGGCTTCAAGGAAAAGAAACACAGAAAAATCCGGCACGGAGAATATTTGCAGCCTTCAGAACAACTTCTACTTGTGATGTTCTGGTACTTGCTAGATTACTGTCAATGGATTTATTAGCGATGTAAAGACTGCTGGAGATTTTCCAGCTTAACAAAGAGATCTAGCGGATACTTTACACAATCGATATGTCGGATCATGATGGTCGTTTTGGTCAGTAATTATATAGATTTAAAATAGAAACAGGCGCGAAATGTGTGTACTGCAAGGGTTTGGTATAAAGCTTTGGTTTTAAAAGAAATATTACTGAAATTAATTTTTAAAACTATAGTACCTATACTTACAAATTTAATTGTACATACCTATATAAATAATCGAACAGTCTCTTCCAATTTGAGCCTGCTTAAGAAATTGATCAAATTCTGGTTCAGATGATATTAATTCCCAATGACTTTTCATTGTATTCAGTATATTTTTTATCTATTTTTAGATGCATATATGTAGCATTATTTCTAAATGTCTAAATTTCTTCTTAATTAGTTAAAATTAATTGCTAATAGAGAATGTTAAATTTTAAGAAATCAGCGTTAAGTTTTATTACAGCTATGTAATAAGAAATTCTTTAAACTAAATTAGAATTTATTATTATCGCCCATAGACATTTTCTATACACTTTCAAACCAATCGGAAAGATTTTATTTTTAATTAATTTACGATATGATTTATGACTTTGATTTAATTATTATCAAATAATTTTAATTTTTCAACTATTTTGCTAACTTTAGCACTAAATTTTTTATTATTTGTTTCTTAATTACCTTATCAGAACTTAAAATACAAGTTAGCAATTTTATTGCATAGAGAAGTGTTGTCAAGAGAGGTAATGTGCGTACCATAATTCCATCTAAACTTTCTCCCCAAAGCTTAATGTAGCAAATCATCTAATAATATTATTCTTACATTAAAACTTATTGAATATAGAAATACTTTTTTTTACTTTAGAACAATTTTAGAGAATGTTAATATCGAATTTATCCGACAGCTACAAAACTAAAATGACTTTCCTAGCAATGACACTATCTTACCATAGAGACTGTAAAATTAAAACATTCAATTAAACTAAACCCAAACAAAAAATTCCTCAAAGCTGAAGGAATTGCCGAAAAAAGGTTCATGCACAAAAGATCACAATTTTCTTGAAAATCTTCAAGAATGCTATTCAAGGTAAGTCTCATCGTTCCTTCCAACCGAAGTTTGGAGCCGCCGAGTTTCTTTTCAAGGTCTATTTATATCGTTGAGAGACCTACGCACCACTCTCGTATGTTTGGATTAATAAAGATATTTTATATATTGATCTTTGTTATAATTTTTTTTCCTTTCGCTATCCCTATTCCTGTATTATTTTCAGTATTTCCGGACAAACGATTATTACTTTTTTTACCCTCCGCTGCCTTACAAACTCTTTCTATGTGGCCGTACGCCAGGCACCTGTGGCACCGAATGAAAATCATCCTTTTTTTATTAGGCAACAGATGAAGCCAATCCTAATGCGTCCCACTTTCTTCAGCCTGTCTACTTCCTCTGGGTCGATGACTACAACCGCAAACTTCATTCCTCGTTAATTGGGTCCTAGGATCGTCACTTTCCTGCTTCCTGGCTTCTGAAGCACTTCCGCCAACACCTGTTCAACCTCTTCTTCCTGGGTAAGGCAATCCAAGTTGCGAATCTCCAGTGTGACTTGTCGATCCACGGTTTTCACCTTCGCCATATGCTTACAACCGCTTTAGTGACCTCAAAGTTGAATGCCTCCTTATTGGAATTTCTTCCGATTTTGATAAGATCTCCTCTTATATTTGAAAAGGGTCGCCATCATTTTCACCAAAACCCAATTGACAGAATATCAAAATGTCAAAAACTTATTTCTTCGAATACTTATGTAACCGAAAGTCCACTGATCAGCATACTTAATTCACAAAAACTCCACTAGTCAGAATGTTTAAATTACCGAATCGCAATTTGCTAGAATATTTAATTTTCAAACAATTTATTTTTCAGAATATTTAACTTAACGAATCTCTATTTGTCAGAATAATTAACTTCCCAAATTTGTAGATGTCAGAATGTTTAAATTCTTAAATCGCAAATTGTCAAAATATTTAACATATTCCGAATTTCCATTTGTCATAATATCTAACTTCCCGAAACCATGGCGATTTCGATTTACCGAAAGTTAACCCAGCTGGGTTAAGTTTCGGTTAATTTTAGGTTATCTTTTGGTTTCTTCAAAAAAAAACTTGATAAATCGACTTAATTTGAAGGAAAAATGCATTTTGAGAGTCAAATGAATGTTTATAGAGTTGATTCTTATCAAAATTACAATAAATAATGATTTATTAAAGATAAATTTTGGCCTATAAATTCTCATCTAGTATTCAATAGACTTTTTTCAAAGTTTACATTAATCAATATGTAGGGGTATTCTTATTTAATCAAGACATCGGATAAATCAAATAGTATATTTATTATGTTGAAATTGGTAAGATGAATATATCCCAGTAAAAAAAGATTTATTGAGCAAGCGATTTGGCTGATTGAGCAAGCCGTCTGCCCAATTGTCTAAACGACATTCGGACAATTGGACTGTTTGCTCAATCATCCAATGCATTATGCCCAATCACCAACATTGTATTTCGCGTCTAATAAAAGAAGAAATCGGTCCGAGTGTTGAGAAAATGATAAATTATGAATAATTATTGTTAAAAAGCAAGAAATAATATATAAAAATAATACCTGAAATAAGAATAAATAACGAGTTTTGTAAAATGTTATTTTTTAGTTGACAGTGCACTGATGTAATATGAATTTTGTCGGTAAAAGTGAGGAGTATGATAAAGAGAAACGTTTCTTTATCGACTCGTGATACATTTCAATTGATAATAATAAATTGTTGTTTTCTTGTTTTTTTAAAAAATAAGGAGAAATTTCAATTGAGTATTTAAAAATAAATTTTAATTGATTTAATTTAATTTAATTAGTGGATTAATGAATCAGTGAAGTGAATTAAATTAAATTAGGTTAAATACATTGAATAGTGGTAAGTAATTATATTTTGTAAAATTATTATTTATTAATAGAATTATATTCTTTGTTAATTTGTCTAGTATTATTCTTTTTACAAAAAAATAAGTATAAATAAAAACTGGTAAGTAAAATAATTGAATTTAATAATAATATATTTATATTATTAAACTCAATTAATTAAATAAAATAGGATTATTAATTATATTATTATTAATTATATTTTGATCCTTGATATATAAAAAAAAATTTTCTTTAAAATAATTGGATTAATTTAAATCTCTAATTTATTGTTTCTTTTAATAAAAATCCTATTTTATTTAATTAATTGAGTTTAATAATATAAATATATTATTATTAAATTCAATTATTTTACTTACCAGTTTTTATTTATACTTATTTTTTTGTAAAAAGAATAATACTAGATAAATTAACATAGAATATAATTCTATTAATAAATAATAATTTTACAAAATATAATTACTTACCACTATTCAATGTATTTAACCTAATTTAATTTAATTCACTTCACTGATTCATTAATCCACTAATTAAATTAAATTAAATCAATTAAAATTTATTTTTAAATACTCAATTGAAATTTCTCCTTATTTTTTAAAAAAACAAGAAAACAACAATTTATTATTATCAATTGAAATGTATCACGAGTCGATAAAGAAACGTTTCTCTTTATCATACTCCTCACTTTTACCGACAAAATTCATATTACATCAGTGCACTGTCAACTAAAAAATAACATTTTACAAAACTCGTTATTTATTCTTATTTCAGGTATTATTTTTATATATTATTTCTTGCTTTTTAACAATAATTATTCATAATTTATCATTTTCTCAACACTCGGACCGATTTCTTCTTTTATTAGACGCGAAATACAATGTTGGTGATTGGGCATAATGCATTGGATGATTGAGCAAACAGTCCAATTGTCCGAATGTCGTTTAGACAATTGGGCAGACGGCTTGCTCAATCAGCCAAATCGCTTGCTCAATAAATCTTTTTTTACTGGGAATAAACCTACTGAATCTCTAGTTATCCAAATATTGAAATTCCCAATTTTACATTTGTCAAAACTTTTAATTTCCCGAACACTAAGATAGTAGAATTGACACTCGCCTGACACATTTGTTCAAATACAATTTCTCGTCTGTATTGAGTCGGTAAGGTAGAGTAGATGTCGTTTCTATTCACCACCTCCTATAAAGTAATACCTATTCTGCTATCTTAGTGTTCGGGAAATTAAAAGTTTTTGACAAATGCAAATTTGGGAATTTCAATATTCGGACAACTAGAGATTCGGTAAGTTTATTATTTGGACAAATGGATATTCGGAAAGTAAAATATACTGACAAATAAAAAATTGGGAACATAAATATTATGACAACTGAAATTTTGGGAAGTTAGATATTATGACAAATGGAAATTCGGAATGTTAAATATTTTGACAAATTGCGATTTGGGAATTTAAACAATCTGACTAGTGGAATTTTTGGGAATAAAGTATTCTGATCAGTGAATTTTTGGTTACATATAAGTATCCGGCGAAATAAGTTTTTGACATTTGTAAATTTCAAAGAAATTTTAATAAGTTTAAAAATAATATAAACAAAAATGATAATTTTCTCTCATTTGATAAAATTCTAATCGTCTAACTTTATAAATTAAATTCTACACTACGTTAAATCAGAAAATTATTATTCTTTTTCACAGCGAACGTTTTAATATTCACAAAAAATCACTGTCTATTACTGTGAACTTTTGGATTCATTAATATAGAGTAAACTGATTAGTGCAGTAACTTTCAATATTTTTGTACCAAAGAACAAAATTTTAATTTCAGGGCGACCAACATTTTTTTTTTAATTATCTTTTTAAACTTTTTAGATAAGATAACTAATTTTGACCAGCAAACATTTGTTATACCTGTGGAATAAGTAGACTAATATAGGAACATGCAAGAAATGTTACTGCAAAACATTTTGTTGTGTACGATTGAAAAGGCCAGAGACCACATATTTTTAAAAGATTCTTATTAATTCTATAGTATTTAACATCAAAAAAATCCATTAAAAATAATTTTTATTTGTATCAAAGTATTAACACTTATTGCTCTTATTGAAAGGCAGAATAAAAATTTATGTCAGAATCTGAGATTTAAAAACTTCTTGAATGTAATTATCTTATACTGTCTACATAATAAAAAAGTTCGAAACCCTAATTAAACTTCAACAACACTTCTATAACTCATGAGCTTTAAGCATTTATTTCTTAGAGAAAAAAAAAGAATTAACTTAAAATTATGTCAGCTACACATAATGTTTTAGGAAATTGTTAAATAAAAAATAAACTATTATTTTCTAGAATCAATAGCACTTTTTTTCTACAATGATGCTTTACTGAGCTTTTTGTTTTACAAAAACAGATGTGTTTGCCTAAAATCACTAAAGTTAAAGTGTTACTTCTAAAATATTAAAGTTATTTTTACAAGAAAAATGTAAAGTATATTTTTCATTATTTATATTAAAAATAATGTTTTTATTTATAACTAATGTCTCTCTTTCTAAAATAGTCAATTTTTTTTGTGTGAAAAAGTTTAAAGCAACGAAAAATTATTTATTGTTAATATAATATTTACGTTCACAAATAGTATTTTCATAAAATATCTTCCTGAAAATATTTTTTTTTAAATAATAATAAGTAAGCACTAAAAAAAATAATTTTTATTTTTTTATTCATTTAAATAATTTAAATAACGGAGTAATAAAGTATTTTATTTTTTAAGAAACAACAGAACTTACAAATATTGCAAAAAAATTATAATACCTTATCATTAAAGGTAAAATGTTCTTATTTATTTTAAATTATTATAATTTTATTTATTTTAACATTTTATTATGTATTTTAATAATTTATTATTAAATTTTTATTACAATGAAATCAAGATTTAATTTTTTAACAATAGAAAAAGTATCACATATAGGGGAATAATTGTTTAAAATTAAAAAAAAATAATTTCAACAAATAAAATTAACAAAAATTTCAATTCAAAATCATATGCAATTTAAGTATATTTAAAAATCTGAAACTTAATAATTTAATAATTAATGAAAATTTCATTTAATAACTCTGTGAGAAATAAAATTTATTCATATAATATACCTATATAGATTATATACAGCTCTCTCGCTGCCAGCTGAGTAGTGAGTAACGACGGCGCACACATTGCTGCGCAGCTGGCGATCTCCCCTTTCATCGCGCCGCGACTGTTCTATAAATATCTGCCATCACTAACAAATTTCCTCAGTTCGCCGTCGACCGGCCTCGAGTTGCGTCTCGGGACAACCGATGGCAGCTTACTCTGTCTCTCTTCGCCTCTATCTATTTTCTTTTTTTACTATGAGTAAGCCAGTAGTTTGAAGCTGCTTTTGCGACCACCACCTCGCTTAACTCCTAGACAATAATATACGTCACCCTGACCAACATCATTGCGAACGTGTAAAATACATTTATTCGATTTATTTCAGAATAATGGCGAGCCAGACCGGAGCATCAATGCTGGCTTATTTTATTTATTTTTATTATTTTTCTGAAATCTAGTATTTTATTTTGGATTGTATAGAGTCTTGTTTTATATTTTTGCATTATATTTATTCTTTCTTTTTCATTTTTGTTACTGTATTTTTTTTTTTTTTGCTTTACAATATATTTTCTTACGAAGGTTTAATTAACGTTTTGTCACTGACTTAAACCTTCCTCTTCGAGATAACAAATCCTAAAGTTCATATTTAAACATCGAAACACAGATGGCGCTTCACACCATCTAGCGAGTCTTATCGAAACCAGTCAAATGAAGTATGCGGACTCCATCCAGCGAGCAAATCCTTTGGCTTAAAAAATTCAGATTTTTTCTTATTTATTTTTTTCCAACACAACTAATAATTTAAATCAAATTTCTTCAAAACATCAATTATTTAAAACATTTTTATTTTTTTAATTAAAAATTCCGTAAAATTTAATTATTCACAAAAATTAAAAAAAAAATCTTCAGCAATTAAAATTTGAAATTCAATTACTACTTATAAAAAATTTAAAAACTTCTAAAATTTAATCTTTTCTAAAATTTTTAATATAAAACTTTTTGAAATTTAATTATTTTTATTTCACATATGATTCCTTTAAAATTCAATTATTTAAAAAAAAATTTATCTTTAATTGTTAAATTATTGTCAAAACCATAATAATTTTCATTAAACTTTTTGAAAATTAAATCATTTAAAACATTTTTAATTAAAAATTCTGTAAAATTTAATTATTGTCTCAAATTTAAAAAAATAATGAAAAACTTAAATTTTCTAAAACTTTAAATCTTTTGAGATTTAATTATTTCTAAAAATTTTCACTCCATCTCTTTTAAAAATTCAATTATTTTTTTTAAATTCACCCAGATAGCAAGGATACATGCACATTGCTAGACATTTTGCTCGCACGAATGCCTATTAACCAGCACGGCGTGACATCATTTGTGCACGCAGATGCGTCCTCATATGTGTCGCACGCGTGACGTTGAAATGCATATTTAGTGCATTTAATTTCTATTTAAAAAAGATTTATTTAATTTTTAGTATTTAAAAATTTATTTAATAGATAAAAATGCGTAAATATGAAAATAAAACTTTTTATTTCACACTATTATTTTATTTTTCACTATTATTATTATTATTATTATTATTATTATTATAAATGTATGTTTAAGCGAAATTTTCCACACGAAAAATTTAAGGTTATGTTTATGTATGCATACAAATTTTAACTTACCTATAAAACATACAACTATAATCGAACATCGAACAATATAACTTTGTGCAAACGAAATGCATGTGTTATGACCATCACTTCGTGCCCCACACGTGACGCGCGGAACGTGCGGCGCACGATTGTTATTTGGTCAGCTATTTAAAAAAGTTTTAAATAAAAACTTTCAAAATTTTAAATTATCAGAAATTTTAAAAAAAATACAGCAATTCAAATTTTAAGAAAGTAATATAGCTTAAAATTTTTTTTTAAATATAACTATATACTTAAAAGATTAAATGTTAAGTATAAACGAATTTTAACTATATAGAATTTTAACATTTTTCAAATTCGTTTAAAAAAAATCATCAGCATTTGTTCTATAAAACTATTTTTACAAAACTATACATATGTCGTGGTGTTTCTTTAATAAAATATTATATTTAAATTGTAGTTAGAAATTTTAAAATGTTCAAATAAGATAGAGACATATTTAAAATCTGAAAAATAATTATATTCCTTTGAAAGAAGAATAAAAACAGTATATATATATATATTAATAAAATATATTTCTTTTTATACGAACCATGGCAAAATTTGACATTGTGAAAGTGTATAGTTTACCTCCTGTAAATTTACACTGTTTTGTGCTTCTTATCATTATCATTAAAATCATTTTTTGATTATTATTAGACAATTCATACCAATATCCATCGTATCTGAAATAATTTAAAATTTGTGCGTTTGTTTTAAAATATATTTTTTTTTTATAAAATAAAACAAAAACATTTGATACATTTAGTACATTAAGTTAGAAATTTTTAACAAATTTTTTGATTGCACTTTCTTAACGCACAACATTTTTAAAAATATTGTGCAAAATATAAATATATTTAAAGAAAAATTTGTATAAAATAATAAAATTTACATGTTTCTGAAGAACTGAAGACTGTGGTTAGTTAAACGTTGACAAGAAAAATTTATGCAAAAAACATGAAAAATATGACAAAATATAAATCTTGAAAGTACACTTTCCATGTTTAATTGGCTCAAATTCATCATAATCTGCATTGTATAGAATTATTTTTTAATAAAATATTAAATAAATATTTAGCAAACTTCTCTATAGAAATAAGTTTCTATAAATTTAAAGAATTTAATAAATTTTGATTGGGTCCAAAAAATAATTCTTAAGGATAAATATGAAGAGTTCGATATTGGATAATTTATTTTAAATTTATTTTTAATTTCATTTATTGCAACGTCAGTGTAACATTAATATTTATAATAAGTTAATTTCTTTAGTTGAAAATAAAATAAATTGATTACAACTCTCTAAATCTGAATTAGTATAGTTTTCTACTAATGAAAGAGTGCGAATTCGTTTACCAATTGAATTAGTAACAGTTTTTACTCTTTTTTTTAGTAAAAATAAACTACTAATTGCTAGTAGAAAACTACTAATTCATGGAGTAAATTGTATTTTTTTACTATTTTAAATTAGTAAGCCGATTTACTCCATGAATTAGTAGTTTTCTACTAAAAAAAAGAGTCAAAACTGTTACCAATTCAATTGGTAAACGAATCCGCACTCTTTCATTAGTAGAAAACTACTAATTCAGATTTAGATAGAATATATATTTAATTAGAATAGAAATTATTTATTTTACCTGAACTCCTGCAGAGATAAGTAAAATTACAGTACATCCCACGACAATGAAATATCTAGTAGAAAAACAATTGCAGATACCGCTTATAAACCTAAAGTATAAAAAGTATGAAAAATATTTAGCATAAAAAATTCTTTTATTTTCAATATTTGAATCGTAAAAAACAGTGTATGAACCTCCCTATTCTGTAACTCGTTTAGCGCTCGGACGGACGTTCTATTAGTAGTTAAATAGTAGCGAGGGAGCCATTGACGCTCACTGCTACCCGACTACTAATAGAGCGTTCGACCAAGCGCAAAACGAGTTACAGAATTGGGAGGTTCATATATGCACTAGTAAAATTTATTGCGAACTGTTATTAGTCAGTATCAGGGTGTCTAACAACTGTTAGGAAAAAAATTCCCTGACTTTTCCCTGACCTAAATTTTACACTAAAAAATTTTTATTTTAATGAAATAAAAATTATTTTGATACAATTAAATCATTTATCTGTCTATTATCCACTAATTTCTCAACATTTAATTTCAAAAAATTTTTATGGCTTTAAATTTTATATTATCAAATTTTTATTTAGTAAAATTATATAAAGCAGATTTTCTAGTATATCTAATTTTAAATTAATGCAATTTCAATATAACGGAATTTAAGTCAAGAAAAATTGTATAAAGAAAAATTTTTTTAACATAAATGTTATTTTAATAAATTTCGATTTATCAAAATATTTACTTAACATAATTGACATTGAATAAATCCACAATTAACAAAATTCTTAACACTCTGCCTGGCCAGTTGACCGTTATCGACAAAAAGCGACAATTCGGTCGCCTGGTGGGGACTATGGGAAATACATTCTATAGCGTTAGAGTGGGGATAACCCAGGACAGGGAGAGGGTTAATTAGGGTCAGCCGGGGTAAATCCGAACGTTAATTATTTCAGCTTAATTAAAATTTCTAAAAATAAGTTTGTAACGATAGAGTATCGTATGTGGCGCGGCGAAAAGAGAGAAAGTAGACAGCGTAAGTAGTAGTGTCACTCTCTTCCCCCACCACTCGCTGTCACCTAGTTGCTAGTGATATACCTTTCGTCTCGCACCTTTTTCGTCAGTCTTCATTCGACTCGCCTAGAGGTGCTTCTCTGACGATTGGAAGCGATTCACTCCTGGCTACCTGGTGCTCAGTAGAGGTGCGTCTCTCTGAACACTAGAGCCTTCCTCACTTCCTAGAATGAGCTGTACTTATTCCTGTGGGCGTTTCTGCGGAACAGTAACACCCTTCGCCCTCCTTCTACCTGGTGAACCAGACTTCCTATGGGCGCTTCCGTGGAAGACTGGTGAACCAGGTTACGCACATCTACCAGGACCATCCTTGTCGAGTAGAGGCGCTCCTCTCTTGACAAAGATGATGCACTAGGTCGATTCCCCATCTCGAGGCGCTTCTCGGGTGGAGGAGACACCTAGTGAATATTACTGTGCACTAGCTTCGCGTGAGGCATGAATATTGGAACTGAATCCAATATCTAGCTTTTTCCCGATTACGAACAATAATCGACCTAGCGTGCACGACCCTAGTATCCGTCCGTACCGTCATCTAGGGGATAAATTCTAGAAAGTACCGCACGCGAAAGTAATATGCGTCGTCCTGACCAACATAATCGCCAACATAATCCAATTTATTCTGGATTAATGACGAGCGCGATCGGAGCTCAGCGAACGCTCCTCTAGAATAGCTAAGTCTGTTATAGTAATGTTTTCTAGAGTTTAGTATTTTATTTGCATTGTACAGTTTCTTTTGTTCTTTATTATTTTATGTAATACTTCATTTTTGTATATTTTATTATTCTTTTATTTTAACAATATATTCTTTTTCGAAGGTTTAAATAAAGACTCGTCAATGACTACACCTCTCCTCTACATCATAGTAAGAAATAGTTCCGAAATTAAGCGAAACATAGATGGCGCTTTACGCCATCTACCGAGATTTAAAGTAACTAGTCAAAATAGGTACCCGGACTCCATCCGGCGAGCAAATCCTTTGGCAATAAAAGTCAGATCATTACAAGTTGAGACATGAGAATTTTTACCTCAGATCCTCTTGAAGAGATTCTAAGTATTATCCCATTTTTCGTTTGTTAATTAGCAACAGCATAAACAAAGATAACGAGTATTGCAAAAAAGATTGAATGTCAAAGATGACACTCTTTTAGTATTTTGTCTCGTATTTGAAGAAAAAGAAGCTAAAAATTCATTTTATTATTATTTATAATTGTTTGTTATATGAATACTAGAACAGAAACTATTTTTCATTTTTGCCCCTGGCGGATCGCATGAACTGGAATCTGACTGAACTCGGTCCGATTTCAGTCACGTTTCGGTTCGATGTGGAAAAACCCATGAAAAAGGTGGGAAATGGTGAAAAAAAACTATTGGAATGAATAAATAACTAATCCAAAGTTTTATTCATGTAATAATTTGTTTGAATTCAGCTTTTATTAACTTATTATTAATGTTGAAAGTCAAAAGGTGCCCACCTGTCACTTTAATGTTTGCTTTATTTCGTAAATATTTAAAGTGAAAAAGTGAAAATTGTGATAAAACCAAATGTGTATATATTAATGAATATTTAATGTGTCTAAATTATATATTTTTTGTTTTGAATAGTGCATATTAATAAAAAAAATAGTACATTTTGTAATGAATGTCCTGTTTATATGTTTCGATAGAATGTCACTTAGCCGATAATGAGATTGCCGCGCACGAAACACGCTAGATGTCAGAACTGGTTCTTTCCTCTTCAAATGTTTTATCATTCTTGTTTTATTAACGTACACAATTTTATTTGAAAATTTTAATAGATGTAAATAATTAATAAAGGTTTAATTAATATGTTAGTAATTTTGATATAATAGTGAATATTTACATTAAAATTGTTTTTGTCATTTTCAACTTTGTTTGTAAAATATTCATTTTAACTAAATAGTAGTGCATTTTATTATTTAATTTCAATTATTTATTACATTATTAAAAAAAGTTAAGAGTGTCGAACGGTCTCTGAAATTCTTTGGCATTTAATAATCGCCCTATAAAAACGGCACTGAACGTGAAAATGATAAACATTGAGTTTAAAATACTTTTTTCTCAAAACGCGGACACTTTTTTCAAAATCGGAAAAAATACCAAGGATCCTTATTTTATAAATTTCTTAAATCCGAAAGATTGTGCAAATCTATACAAAAATGCGATTGTAAAACGAAAAGTAGGAAAGTAATATAATGACAGCTGCGACATTGTGCTCCCTGCATGCTTCTGCCACCTAACGGCTGCAGGACGTAATAAACCTAAAAGCGAACATTAAAGTGACAGGTGGGCACCTTTTGACTTTCAACATTAATAATAAGTTAATAAAAGCTGAATTCAAATAAATTATTACATGAATAAAACTTTGGATTAGTTATTTATTCATTCCAATAGTTTTTTTCACCATTTTCCACCTTTTTCATGGGTTTTTCCACATAGAACCGAAACGTGACTGAAATCGGACCGAGTTCAGTCAGATTCCAGTTCATGCGATCCGCCAGGGGCCTTCTGTAAAATTTTATTAATAATATCAGACCGTTCGTATTTACCCCGGAAAATTGGAAAACCGGGGTAAATCCGAACGGTATTTTCAATAATGTTTTCTTATTTGATTACACTATTATTTTAACATTATAAAAGTACATAGAAAAAAGTTTTTCTTTCTATATGTGACAGTCCCCGAGAGAAGGGACCTTAGCTCACCAAAACGAATTTCACAGGGCAAGCGTTTGAAGAAGAAGCAGAAACGCGGAACTCGAAGAGTGGGGCGGAACTTCTGAAAAGTTCCCCCACCACACTAACACAACGTTGTGTTTCTGTATACGTGAGCTTCGTCTACTTCGTGTATCTTCGGGTCTCACGTACGCGAAGCTCACGTACGCGAGAGTATAGTTGTGTAAGTAAAGTAGTGGGGCTGATTTCTTGAGTGCCACAATCCGCCTCGAAATGCGCTTGACATACCCATCTTCAAAATGTTATTGTGTCAAAAGCAATTATCCTAATCAGTTTTTGACTTTTGCATGTGAAAAAGCAATTCAAAATCTATCATTTACCATATAAAACTCAATATTGACCTCTGGTGAGCTAAGGTCCCTTCTCTCGGGGACTGTCACATATGTATCCTCGTTAGTAATTAATAAGCAGAAACTTAATCTCTGTTCTCTCGAAGGAGTGTTTCAATTTTTTTGCCAAATGGTTTGTTGAAAAAAGTTTTTCAGGATCTTAATAAAATTTGGTATTCTACGGTTTTTGGGGTCGCTAATTACCAATTTGAAGTCAGTTTTTCAAAATTCAAAATGGCGGACGAGAATTAAAAAATTCATTGGATTCGCTCGAAAATTGTTACTCGGGGGGTTTCAGGGTTAGCAAATTTGATCATTTTTAAAAATAAATTTTAGGAAAGTCCGCCATTTTGAATTTAAAAAATTTGACTTTTATTTTTGTATTTACATTCAATCACTCCAAAATACTTTCTGTAGCAAGTTTTGCAAAAATCCGTTATGATTTGATAAAGTTATTGAAGGTTTTAATTGTGTAATGCATTTTAATTTTTAACCTGTTTGATTTTTGTATTTATATATGATGCATTATTACATAATAGGTTTATTATCGTATTTTTTTTTGAGTTTTTATATAAGTTTAACAATTGCAATACTTTAAATTTATTTTCCCTAAAATTTTTCTGAAATACAGTGGCGTTCGTATTTACCCCGGTATTTTAGGAAAGTTGCAAAGTAAAAAATTTTCTACCCCATAAAATTGTTCTATGGAAGTAAAGTAACAACTTCATGTACCAGAATACCGGAAGTATTGTCTTTTAAAAGAAAAAACTTATGTTATTGTTGAAACTTACTAAAATCGTTCGGATTTACCCCGGCTGACCCTAATTACTTTAATTTATTCATCAAAAATTCCAGAAAATTAAAGAAATTTCCTGACTTTTCCCTGACCGTTAGACACCCTGAGTATAAAAAACAAAAAGTGGTTTCAATTTATTTAGAATTTAATACTAACATTAAGAGTGAATCATGTTTTTTAGCACAAAATTTAATCTCTTGCATTATATTTTTATCGGCATTCCATTGATTACAATTTCTTTTGCCAATATTTTTTAATTTAAAGCTGCAAAAAGATTATTCATAATTATATGCATAAATATATAATTTTAAATTAGCTCCTCAATATTTTTTAAGTGCTAATCACAAGTTCGCAGACTGCAAGAGAAGCCCAAATTTTTAGAGTAGTTAATTAATTTAAAATATGTAGGATTTAATATTGGGGGACGAAAAATCGAAAAACTTGCAGATTGTTATAAATCTTGTTGAACTTTTAGAGATTGTTGATTTGTGAACATCAGTATTTAAATATTTAAAAAAAACTTTGTAAAATGTATGATTATAATCATTTTTCTCATTAGGCAAATAAAATTTTCATTTTCTTACCCTAATATTGATAATTCTCCGCATGCATGATAAAGAAAAGCAATGAAAATTGCATCTGTGCTCACAATAATTGTAATCATTACTGTATTAGTGTGACATATATGTAGCGTAATCCAAAAATAATTTTCATCTTGATTCACATAATATTCAACGTCAAGATTAATTTTTTTAGGACGAGACTGATTTAATGGCTTTATAATATCCAAAACTAATGGAAAAATATGTTCAACAAGAAATTCAAACCAACAGGCACAAATAATAACTGTAAGTGAGAAAGATATTTTCTTTTAATTTTGAAAAAAAAGGAAATTAAAAAATTTAATTTCTTACCCAAGAATAAAATAATAAATAATCTTCCTTGATAAGCATGTTTATAAAGAATTTTAAATTCTCTTTCCGATTTCCAAGTAAACCAATCGTTTTTCATTTTTGACAAAAGTTCCTCTATCTGATATTAATAAAAAAAAAGAAATGATAGTTCGCATTTTTTTTTTAGTAGAAAATTTTATTCATACTTACATTATCTTTTCTGTTACAAGCTATGAGATAATTTAAACTAATAAGGCTCACTATATACGATGGAAACCAATGAATCAATACATCCATTTTACCCCAATGTTCTGTTAATACTAGTGTCTAATAGAAATTTATTAAATTATTTTCAATTTATTTTAAATGGAAGTTTTTTTCTATTTTAATAAACTAAATTTTTAAAAAGTAAATTTGTTTTTTTTTAATCCTTTATGAACCTTTTCTAATTATTGCATTGCAAACTTGAAATTCTAATTTTGTAATTATTTGTAATTACTTAAAAATTATTTTTAAATACTTATTAATCTGTATTTAAGTTTCTGGTCCTGTTGCAAAAAAAAACACTATACCTGCGGTACAAGTAAACTTATAATACTAATCCAAAGAAAAAATGAAATTGTTCGTCGCATAAATTTATTTTGATACGGCCAATATCCAATTAAACACAGGAGATAGTAATTTATTCTATAGAAAGTTTTATAATAATCAATGTCTATTGTGGACTTCATGACAAGTAACTTTATTCTAATAACAGTTTTTGTTACTTTTCCCATAAGTATACGAATATACTATAAGTAAATTTATTCTTCTGAAACTTTATATACGGCAATATTATCATTTAAAAGTTTTAATAATTTTTCATATATAAACTATTAAGTTTATCCGGAAATGAATTAAAACTTTTAACAAGTTGCCCTTACGAAAATTTATAATTGAAAATTCCTAATAGGCCTGTCATTTATTTTTTATCATATTTTTTTTTATTATTTTTTCGCGACAATAGAAAAATGATAGAAAAAATATTATAGGAAAATGATAGAAAAAAATGATAAGTAAAATGATAAGAAAATGAAAAATGATAATAAAAGGATGTTTTCAATAATACAGAAATAAATATATATAAACTATTTAAATGTGCTGTAATTAGATATGTTAAATTTTTTTTATTGAGAAGAAACCGATTAATTTATAAATTATCAAATATTTACTTTCAATAAAAAAATTCAACATATCTAATTACAGTACATTTAAATAGTTTATATTTATTTCTTTATTATTTTTCTTATTATTTTACCTATATAATTTTTTTCTATCATTTTACTATAATTTTTTCTATCATTTTTTCTATCATATCTGGATTAAATAATAATTTATTATGTTAAACATTATTATTATTATTATATATATGATTATATTTATGATTCTAAACATTGTTAACAAATTAACAATAATTTATTATTATCAAGGAATGAAAAGAGTCATAAAAAAACCTTTACATTATATCCCTGAAGTATCCAAGAATAAATATATTTCCAAAAATACCCTTACAATACGTTCCTGGATCAATATACGAAAATTATGTTTGGTAGCAGAAGACAAAAGAAAGACCGGTACATGCCCTCACAACACAAGGATATTCAGGATATCCCTGGGACGTCCTGGGGATATCCATTTGCTTTTGGCGATTCGGATATCCCTAAGATATCCTCTGGATATCCATGGACATCTCTAAGATATCCCAGGGATATCCAAACCGCCGAAAACAAATCGATATCCCCAGGACGTCCCAAGGATATCCTGAATATCCTTTTGTTGTGAGGGTGGCAACCAAATAACAAAGATTTTCTCTTATAAAATGTATTATTTGTATCATTATTAATATCATTGGTTTTTTTTATTTTGTATTTTTAATCATTAATTTTGAAAATTGTGTTTAATCCCTAATAACACAAGATATCTTGGGATATATTGATAATATCCCGCAGATATCCTAGGGATGTCCTATGGATATCAAAAGGATCTCTTAAGGATATCCAAAAAATCGGAGGTTTGGATATTCTTTGGATATCCCATGGATATCTGAGGATATCTCTATAGACTTTCATAAATGTCCTCCAGATATCCCATAGATATCGTCAGGATATCCCACAGATATCATCAGGATATCCCATAGATATCGTTAGGATATCCCACAGATATTTTCAGGATATTCTCAGTATATCTTCTCGATGTCAAGAAGATATTCTCAGGATACTGTTTTTAAAGTCATTATGAGACTACGAGTGAGAATATTCTGTGAATTAAATTTTATATATAAATAAAATAAAATGCAACTTGTTTTTCGAGAAAGTTGTATAATTTGAAAAATTATTAACTAATTTTTTTCTCATTCGTGATTCATTACTTTATTCATATGCTTAATATTGTCAGAAAATAAATTGGCTTTAAACAATATAAATTCTTCCCCGCAAATAACGAATAACTATTAATATTAATTATACATTAAGTGCATGAGTTTATTTAAAAACTTTGAAAAATGCGTTTTAAATCTTCATTTAAAATAAATTAGAAGCTCATAAGATTTTTGTTTTTATTATATTATTATTCATTATATTAGCTTAACAATTTTAACCTTTAAAAATATATGTTGAGATATTAAATATCCCGTGAATATCCTAAGAATATCCCACGGACATCCTAAGGATATCCCACGGATATCCTGCGATATAATATCCAATAGATATTTTGTGGATGTCTCAGGGATATCCTGTGGATATCCTATGGATGTCCTGTTGATGTCCCACAGACCGGTGGTTTGGATATCCTAGGGATATCCTATGGATATCCCAAGATATCCTGGGGACCATTCTAGGATATCGACCATTGATATGGATATCCTTTTGTTATGAGGGATTAAATTAAAATCTATTTTTTGTAATTTTGATGAATTTATTGTGTTGATTTAAATTATTTTTTTTATAACAATTCTTGCAGAACTCTTTCACAAATCCCCCTCCTCCCTATATTGATTTACTTTGAGTAGCCGAGAAAATTAATAAAATGATTCAAAATTTCGGTATATTTTTGTTAATAAATATATCTACGGGTAGCATGAGAGGGCTAAAATCTGTTATAAATAAAGTAATAAAACAATAAGAGTACAATACAATTATACATATGCAATAAAGGATTGTCTAATACAGCAGGAGGGTGAAAAATATCTCTACAGAAGGTCTAAATTTTTGCAGTGAAGGGCTAAAAATATTATTATAATGACTCGTTGGCCATCCAATCATCATTCTCATCCTGGTATTCGTAGAGAACACAGTAAATTATATTTTTTCTGAAATAATTAAAATGTAACGTGTAATAATGTAACGAAGCTTCATCGTCATCTTTATCGTTAAATAATAAATTGCATCAATTAGAAAATAGTAATAATAATGATAAAAATCAATAAATTCTCAAAATTCTAAAATAAATTTTAAAAACTCGTCATAATTTAAATATCGTAATTTATATTGAAACTTTTAATACAATTTCAAAAAATTTAGGTACTATTTGATAATATATATGTGAATATTTGCTATACACTTCACTAAAAAAAAGTTTTACACGTAGTAAAATAAGTTCTTAATTTTTTAAAATCGTTTATACATTACATTTATCTTACTAAATTTTACTTACATTATCAAAAATTATATTTATGTGTTTATCTCATTGATGACAACATTGTGAAATAAGACATTGAAGCTCGAATCATCTATTAAAAAAATTACATTTAGTGATTTTTTTTTATAAAATACATAGAAAATTAAAAGGCATTAAAATAAGCTGCAACACGCTTATTATTTTAATCCAATTTTGCTTATTTTAATCTATTTTGGTATTAAAATAAGTAAAATTGGATTAAAATAATAAGGCTTATTTTAATGCCTTTTAATTTTCTATATACAAAGTGATAAATATTTCAGAAATTTATTTTTAAAAAACTATTTGGCAAACATAGTAAATCTAAAGGTCATTTTCAGTAAAAGTTTGGTAATAATATTAAAGAATTCAGATAAACACAAAAGAATAGGAGGACAGAAAAGAATGAAGAAGAAGAAGAATATTATCTCTATAATTGTTATCAGTTTCTTTATATATCATTGATATAGCAAAAAATAAAAGTATACCCCTGAAAAGCTTTCTATATCTATAACATAAACTTGAGCAGCTGTAAGTTTGCAAGGATCTTTAGTTCTCATCATTATTTGAAGTAACATTTTTCTACATTTTAATGGCATTTCATACCATTCAGAGAAATATCTACAAAATCATAAATAATTAAAACCATTGAGATTAAATAATATATATACCTACACGGAAAAAATTTTGGTGCACCGGTTGTACTGGTTAGTTAAAAAATTTTTGTACTTTAAAAACGGACATCAGTTATCCCGGTTTGGTGCAACCTATGTCCCGTACAGTGTGTCTGATGTCCCTTACAGCGCTTCTGACGCGCCAAATCAGGATAACAGTTGCCCGCAACCCATAGTACAACAGTTCTACCGTAGATTGCGCATCTGATGCACCAAAATTTTTTCCGTGTAAAATTAATATAGTTATTCTTATTTACATATTATCAAATAGTAAGCCAGTATTATCCGTTAATCGCTGAGACGATTTACTCAAAATAAACAAACTGACCATGTGTGCTACAACAAACACTACAAATCTTATAGCTTCATGTGGTTTATCTAAATTAATTAATACCTGTAAAATATCCATATTAAAAAATAATTTATTATTCCGTCATTATAATATACTTGATAGAGAAATAATAATAAAATTTTGTTTACCAATATTCCTATGAGACTTATAATGACAACAGTAATTAGTATTTGCAGTAAATAAGAGATTGCAAATAATGATTCAATTGAAGCGACAAACCTGGTATAAAAAAACCATATAATCGTTACATTATTTCCACAAACTACAAATATGCAACGAATGTGCAACGAATTCGTCGCACATTCATAATTTCGAACATTTACTTCAAACTACTCTGTTAATTTTGAATGTTTTTGCCTAAATGTTAGTTCAATTAATAATAAAATATGTCAATGTGAATAAATAAAAAAAAAAATCTTTTTAGAAAAAATACTTCTTTGTGAAATAAATACACATAATTAAGTCATATCAAATTACATATTAACAGATTATACTAACTCTAAACCAATCCAGTGTCTTTCTACACATTTTGAAATTTCTTTACAAATAATGTCTTCCTTTTCAACTAAATTAATTTCCTTAGGTACGTTTTCGTTAATATTCCTTAGTTTATAACTGTCATAACAAATAATTATTAAGGTATCAATAAATATCAAAGAAAATTATAAGGTATTAAAATAAGCTGCAACACTTATTATTTTAATCCAATTTTGCTTATTTTAATACCAAAATGGATTGAAATAAGCAAAATTGGATTAAAATAATAAGCGTTGCAGCTTATTTTAATGCCTTTTAATTTTCTTTGATGTTAAACTTAAAAATTATAATAGTAAAGAAATTTACCCTAATGCGGAAAAAATTCCAGTTGCATGTTGTGTGAGTATAAGAAATAATGTATCAAAGCCAAGTAGAGGAAATTCCTTTGCAAATGCACTAATAAATATATGAATTTGTATCCAATAAAAGTATTTCGTATTGTCTTCAACTCCATAATCAAGTTCATAAATAAAAATTCTTTCTCGAGTTTCATTGAGAGGTGCAATTTGATCAATTAAACATGGTACCAATGGCATGAATAGATAGCCAACTGTAGTGAAACCTAAATAACCTAGCATTTTAATTTTTATTAGTCAATTAAACAAATAATAAATCTAAAAATATAATTTTAGTGAATTAGAAAAATAGTTTTAAATTATGTCAATTACTGCTCCTTATTAAAAATAAATCTTTATTAGTAAAAGAAATATTACTTTTTAAAATATACTAATATTTACAAATTCTATTGCATACATACTTGCATAAAAAATTGTACTATCTCTTCCTCTTTGAGCCTGCTTAAGAAATTGATCAAATTCTGGCTCAGATGACATAAAATCCCAATGACTTTTCACTGTATTCAGTAAATTTTTTACCTATTTTTAAATATGCATATATGTAGCATTATTTCTAAACTGAATAAAATTTATCCAGTTTTAATTAATCAAAATCTATCGTGAATAGAGAATGTTAAAATTTTAAAAATTCCCGTTAAATTTTAGTACAGCTATATGCGATAAGAAATTCTTTAAGGGGTTACGCCAACCTGAAATTTTCAAAAAAATTGATTTTTTTTGCTTAATTTCAAAATTTATATTCTAACGAATATTTTGAGATGTCTCCGAAGACAATGTCTCACTAATTACAAAAGTTATGATCTTTAGAAGTCAGCGGGTACACAGAAAATTAAAAGGCATTAAAATAAGCTGCAACGCTTATTATTTTAATCTAATTTTGCTTATTTTAATCCATTTTGGTAATAAAATAAGAAAAATTGGATTAAAATAATAAGCGTTGCAGCTTATTTTAATACCTTACAATTTTCTGTGTAGGGACGCGTCGAGAGCTGCTAGAAGCCGTCTAGCGCCTCCTTAACGACTTTCCATTTTCAGATCAGAGGACATTCTTTTCATTCTAGGAGAAGAGTATTATGGCCCAGGAATTGCTGATTAAATAGTAAGTTAAAAAATTTTCAAGTTATAATACACTAAAGTATATTTTTTTCTTCTTTTGCGTTTTTCTCGAAACCACATTTTTCGAGACGGTGTACACGATAACTCAAAAACAATTCAACCGATTGACTTGCAAATTAATATACATCTTCCTAAATAGATTTTCCACAGAGTGACGTGGGATTTTTTCGATTGAATAATTTGAAAATTTTTTATCCAATTTTTTATACGGTACTTTTAGCCCAAAAAAAAGTCAATTTTTGAAGTGCTTCCATTTTCGTAAAAATTTTTTTTTTTTTTAATTGGCTTCGTCACTCTGTTCAAAATTTGTCACTTTTTAAGAAAAATATTGTTTTACTTGTTTCAGACAAAAATTGAACTGTCAATCAGGTACACCATCAAGGAGTGCTCCGGAAAAATTGATCCACGCCAATACTTATATCTCCGCCATTTTTAATTAAAAACCATTTTTTTAAAATATTTATAAAGCTTAATATATGTATTAAAGCATCAATAAATGTAAATAAGTCCTACCTCTAACAGTTTTGTCAAAAAAATTCATAAAAAACTATCCGATTTTCATGCGTTCAGGGTGGCGTAACCCCTTTAAACTAATTAACTAAATTAAAATTTATTATTATATCCCATGTAGACATTTTCTATACACTTTCAAATTAATCGAAAAGATTTTGATTGATTTAAATGATTTATGACTTTGATTTAATTATTATCTAATAATTTTAATTTTTCAACTATTTTACTATTTTTAACACTATTTAATATTTATTATTATTTGTTTTTAAATTACCTTTTCAGAACTTATAATGCCAGTCAGCAATTTTATTGAATAAAGAACTGTAGTCAAGAGAGGTAATGTGCGTACCATAATTCCATCTAAACTTTCTCCCCAAAGCTTAACGTAGCAAATCATCTAATAATATTATTCTTACATTAAAACTTATTGAATATAGAAATATTTTTTTTTTACTTTAGAACAATTTTAGAGAATGTTAATATCGAATTTATCCGACACCTACAAAACTAAAATGACTTTCCTAGCAATGACACTGACACTATCCCATCATAAAGACTGTAAAATTAAAACATTAAACTAAACTAAACCCAAACTAAAAATTCCTCAAAGCTGAATTAGTCATTTTTGACTAATTCACAGTCATTTTTGACTAATTCAAATAGGGCGGATTCGTTTACTGTGAATTAGTCAAAAGTTACTAATTCAATCAGTAACAAATCTATCACTAAATGAATTAGAAGTTTCAGTTTCTAGATAGGTATACATAGGTAGATAAAGTAGGTAATACAGACGTATTTATTTTGAAAATAGCCAAAAATTATTGCTTAAAAAATAGGAAACGATTATATTTTGTTTTTATATAGTTTAAATAACGTGAATCAATAAAAAAATCTATTTATTTCATTTTCGAAATTATTCTGCGATAATTACTGTGTAACGATTATGTATTTTGATTTAACTTTGACGTCAAAGTCATTTTCATTCTGACTTCGTAGTCAAATGTCATTTTTCGTAGTTTTACGAAAAATGATTGTTTTGATTTGTCAAATTGTAATTATATCCACAATTTATTTAGGAATTAAATTATAAAAAAGTAAAGTAAGTAATTTTAAACAGTTAAAAAAGCGGTATAATTAAGGAATTTTTAAAAGATTAATAATTAGGTTAAAATTACTTAATAAAAAAATATTTCATCTGTCAACGGTAAGTATTTTTTAATGTTGAAACCAGGAATATGTTATAATTGTTTTGAATAATGCCTTACTTTCATTTTTATAAGTGTAGTCATAATAAAATAAACTAAAATATCAAAAACTAAAGAAGAAATTATGTCGTTTAAAAGATAATTCAAAACATAAAAAATTACTTACATTTGACCGATGAAATATTTTTTTCCTAAAATAATTTTAACTTAAATTAGTTTCCTACTGTTTTGAACAAATTGACATTTTGTACATAATTTATTGATGTAATTTACAATAGAAAATGCTCAACACAAATTATTATTAAAAATACTCAATTTTTTGGCATAATGTAATTGGAATTAATTCCTAAACATAAATTCAGTAACGAGACTGTTATTTATATTTGTGTAAATAAAGTTTAACGATAATTTTATTTAAACTGTAATTAATTATATATAAATAGTAATATTTAAATAATTCTTTCAATTTTTCCTCTTAACATATGTGAATGAATAAATAAATAAAATAATATTAATGTTTTAATTATATTTCATAAATTAAAGTTTTTTTAACCTCTTACTTTTACTTAGTTTGTTAAAGTTATAAAAGTTTTTTTTAAAAATCCTTGTAATGCTGTCTTGATCTTTTTAAAATTACTTACTTCACTTTTTCATCATTTAATTCCTAAATAAAGTTTTTATTCTTAAATTTTTAATAAAGGGAAAAAAGTAATTATACTTTAAAATTGTGGTTATTACAAATTGACAAATCAAAACAATCATTTTACGTAAAACTATGTAAAATGACATTTGACTACGAAGTCAAAATGAAAATGACTTTGACGTCAAAGTTAAATCAAAATACATAATCGCTACCCTGGTGGGAGATGTCACAAGGATTTGAACCCATTACTTTGCCTTCTACCTTGGGAGCTGCGCCTTGACGCGCTCAACCAAAGGAGGCTATGAGGCATAAATTGACATAAACTCGTTGTCAAATCGATAATAAATAAGGTAAAGTCGATTTGTTTTCTATACAAATTTAATTACACAGGTCTACAAAATTTTGGATTGTGTCAGACCCAGAACCCGGAATAGTCATTTCCGATGTATTTTGTCACACTGAATCCAAAAAGTGACAACGAAATTGTTCCATCACGTCAGCGTTTTGAGATATTCTAATCTGAAAGCGTGAAAAATGCCGTTTTTGGCAATATTAGACACTCTATAAAATCGACAAAAAAATTTTTTTAATCATTTGTCTAAATTTTAATTAAAAGTACTATATTTCCTCTTTCAAATTTTTCTATGCCCGATCCGATTTTTTTTTCTCTAAGATACAGCCATTTGAATTTTACGTTGCATGAATTAAAATCTCTTTAAAACGAAAAGTAAATTGCTGATTACGAAGCCGATGTCAGATTTTCAAAATTAAACATGGCGGACTCTTTTTTTAGAAAATTCACAAGATTTGCCTGAAACTTATTACTTGGGGGTTTTTGGGGTCGCTGATACGAATCCAATGTCAGATTTTCGAAATCTCACATCGTATTCGTAATCAGCGACCCCCAAAACCCCCGAGTAACAAGTTTCAGTGCTATAAGTACTTTGCAATTTATTTTTCGTTTTTAAAGGGATTTTAGTTCATACAACGTAAAATTCAAATGGCTGTATTTTATAGAGAAAGAAAATCGGATCGTATCCGGCCTAGAAAATTTTGACAGAGGAAATATAGTACTTTTAATTAAAGTTTTGACCAATGATTAAAAAAATTTTTTGAAGATTTTATAGAGTGTCTAATATTGCCAAAAAAAGGCATTTTTCACGCTTTCAGGTTAGAATATCTCAAAACGCTGACGTGATGGAACAATTTCGTTGTCATTTTTGGATTCAGCGTGACAAAATACATCGGAAATGACTATTCCGGTTTCTGGGTCTGAAATTTGTAGAACTGTGTTATTATATAAATTTGTAATTAGTCTTATAAATGTGCCAATATTGATTTAAATTTGTTTATTAAATTAATTAACATTAACATAACAACAATAGTTTGGAGTGTTTTTTTGAACTGGTGTCTCTGTTAATCCAGACAAGACGGATATAGTTATCTATACTAGGAAATGCAAGGTTCCCACTGTGAGAAAACCTGTATTTTATTGGAAAGAAGTGCCTTTTTTCGATTCGGTCAAATATCTAGGAGTGATTCTGAATAAGAAGCTGATCTGGAGAAAGCACTTAAGAGTATCAATATAGTAGGTTTTGCACTACATTTTGGTTTTGCAGAAGGGCTATTGGATCATCTTATGGGGTCTAAAACCGGATATGATCCAGTGGCTCTATCGTATGGTCCTCTTGCCAAGATTTCTGCATGCATCAGTTGTTTAGTGGATTAGAAGCCAGTTGAAAACGGTGAAATTGAAACTTGAACAACTGCAAGCAATGGTGTTTACACTGCAAAAAGAAGTATCTTATTATAAGATACATTGGAAGCAAGTTACCAAAAGTATCTTCCTATCCATCTTATATCTTAAGAAACTGATGCATTTTAAGTTGTTTTAGATAACTTAGAAGCAAGTTATAAAAAACATCTCAAAAAGGCGACCAAAACATCTTAAAATAAGATACTTCTTTTTGCAGTGTAGAGGGATTACTCGTGCAATGAGAACCACGCCAACTTCTGCGTTAGGTTTCTTAATGGCGGAAGAACCTCTACACATTTTAACGGTTAAAAAGGCTGCTCTCACAATGACCAGACTTCAAGCACAGGGGAAAACACACAAAATTCCCCGCCTCTACACTGAAGATTCTAGAAATCAGTATGGGACAGGATAGAACTACAGAGTTAAAATTAGTTTGGGAATGTCGAAAGGTATTGGACGAGCTAGGTTTGAAAAATAAGCTCTCATTAATCTGGGTACCAGGACACTTGGGAATCAGAGGAAATGAGAAAGCGGATATCTTAGCCCGTAGAGGGTCTGAAATGACTATGATAGGCCCGGAACCGGCGGTAGACATTATGCCAGGCTCGGTGAAAGGGGCCATTGAAAGATGGTCTAGGGGATGTTATGAGAGAGAGAGTGGACGGAGAGTACTGTATAGGTAGACAGGCCAAGGCTCTGTTGGGATTAAAACTCAACAGGAGCTTTGCCGAGTCCCTTCTAAAATTCAACGAGATCAGAGTTAGAGCAGTGATCACGCTGCTTATAAGACATGGCCTCCTGAACTACCATCAGCACAAAATAGTTAGAAACGTCTCACCTAGGTACAGATTGTGTGACGCAGAAGAAGAATCTTCGACTCATATTTTATGTCACTGTCCAGCTTACGCTACAATGATAAATCAATGTTGGGGCCATGCCTTTGTAGATCCAGATAGGATTCGCTACCTCTTGGTAGAAGAGTTACTGGACTTTTGGAATAAGACAGGACTCTAGAGAGGGAGACTGGGTTCGAACTTTTGTGGTGATCGTAGTATGATTAGCTAGAGTTCTAGACGTTTCTCTCTCGCGTAGAGCAAGAAGAAGCGACAGCGACTTTTCTCTCACACAGCGAGTGAGAAAGAAATTGTACCGGCTTTGTATAGTTATGTTCAGTTGCATCTGGAACCACGCTTATAGTGTCACGCATATTTATTATGCCTAATAAACCAAATTTAAATAAGTGTAATTTTATTTATTTATAACCTTTAATATTGAACACATAACTGTGGTGATTCCCTTCTGATTTACTCTCTTTGATTTTAACAAATTTAAATATTTAATAATGAGAAATCCCACACTTTCCGGGGTTAGGTGCAATGGGTCTTACGACTTAAGTACCAACACTCGTACTAAAGGACTTCGGTATAAGTTTGTTTTAGATTAGATTAGATTAGAATTATTTTTGAGTCGAATTTTTATTTGTTTTTAAATCAGTATTTTGCAGAATTTTCATCAAAACAATTTTCTATATTACAGAATTTTTATATAAACCGAAAATTCATTGCACAGAATTTTTATTTGTTCGAATTTTTATTTACTCGAATTTTTATTTACTCGAATTTTCATTTAACATAATAGATATTAAAATAAACTGCAACGCTTATTATTTTAATCCAATTTTGCTTATTTTAATCCATTTTGGTATTAAAATAAGCAAAATTGGATTAAAATAATAAGCATTGCAGCATATTTTAATGCCTTTTAATTTTCTGTGATTTTAAAAAAATTTTATTGGATAGAATTTCATTGCATAGAATTTTCATTTGTCCGAAATTCCAAATGGCCGAACAAACAATCGATTTTGGCGCGATTTTTAAAATCAACCAATCAAAAATTATCCATAAAATTGTGATTGATTGATTTTAAAAATTGCGCCAAAATTTTTCTGTCGATTGTTTGTTTGGACATTTGTAATTTCGGACAAATGAAAATTCTACCAATTAGAAATTCTGTTAAATGATTTTCCAATTAAGTAAAAATTCACTAGTATGAAAAATCGGTTATATGGAAATTATATCAAATAAAAATTCGAACAAATTAAAAATTCTGTGAAGTAAATTTTCGGTTATGTAAAAATTCTGTAATATAGAAAATCGTTTTGATGAAAATTCTGCAAAATACTAATTCGAACAAATCAAAATTCGGTTCAAAAATAATTATGACAAATGAAATTTCATAAAATGAAAATTCTAACTAATGATTTTTAGAACATAATCATGCGTCCTATATTTTTTATTGTTTCGATACATTTTAATGTCTATTACTGTATGGATTCATTAACAGAATGAACTGATTAGCAGTAATTTTGAATATTTTTGTACCAGAGAACAAAATTTTGAATTTCAGGCTAATATATATATATTTTTTTATTTTCTTTACAAACTTTTTTTTTTAGATAAAATAACTAATTTTGTCCAGCAAACATTTGTTAGTATTTGCATAAGACATTTTATTATTTTCCATGTCAATTAGAATTAAAATTTTTAACCGCAACAAATTATATACCTGTGGAATAAGTATACTAATATAGCAACAAGCAATAAATATTCTTATCAAATATTGTATTATATACGATTGAAAAGGCCAAAGTCCACATATTTTTAAAACAATTTTATTAATTTTATAGTATTTACTATCAAAAAAATCCATTAAAAATAATTTTTTTTTATTTTTTATCAAAGTATTAACACTTATTGCTGTTATTGAAAGGCAGAATAAAAAGTTATGTGTCAGCCTCTGAGATTTAAAAACTTCTTGAATGTAATTATCTTATACTGTATACATAATAAAAAAGGTCGAAACCCTAATTAAACTTCAACAACAATTCTATAAGTCATGAGCTTTAAGCATTTATTTCTTAGGAAAAAAAAGAATTAACTTAAAATTGTGTCAGTTACACTAATGTTTTAGGAAATTGTTAAATAAAAAATAAACTATTTATTTCTTGGATCAATATCACTTTTTCTTTCTACAATCATTAAAATAACAGTAGATATTATTTTTGTACTTTACTGAGCTTCTTGTTTTACAAAAAAAAATGTGTTTGCCTAATCACAAAAGTTGATAAACATTTTTTTTATTTGAAAATGGAAAGTATATTTTTCATTATTTATATTTAATTAAAAATAATTTTTTTTTAATTTATAACTAATGTCTCTCTTTCTATAATAGTTAATTTTTTTTTATAAGAAAAAATTTAAAGCAACGAAAAATTATTTATTAATAATAGTTAGGTTTACAATAGTATTTTTATAAAATATTTTTCTGAAATTTTTTTTTTTTAATAATAATTTTTGATTTATTTAATTAGAGTAAAAAATAAAATTACATTTTATACAATTATAATAATGTAAATATTAAAAATGTTGAAAGGCTACAAATTTTAATGTTTATTATATTTTTTTTTTTTTTACTTGGTAGTAAAATATAACTTCTACATATATTTTATTTACAAGAAATTTAGTTTAATGTTTAACTTATTTATATATATATTTAAAATAACAAACGAAATGGAATTTCTATTTTATCAATTACATGATTCTTTTTTTACACAAATTTTCAAAACAAATTAATTTTGTATTAATTGCTACTCTTATTATTATCCGTATCGCCCTGTTGCTTTATACGATAATCTGACAAAGCTGCTTTAATCGCATCCTCTGCAAGCACTAAAAAAATAATTTTTTTATTCATTTAAATAAATTAAATAACGGGGTGATAAAGTATTTTATTATTATTCTTTTATTTAAGAAACAGCAGAACTTACAAATTGCAAAAAAAAATTATAATAATTTACCATTAAAGGTAAAATGTTTTTACTTATTTTGAATTATTATATTATTTATTACCAAGTTTTTCTGTTTTCATTTTTTTTTTTTTTCATTTAAAATTATATTTTTAAATGTCAAAGCTTAATTATAAATTATTATTTTATTAATTTGTTTTAATTCTATTTTTTACTATTATTTATTTCTCATAATTATTTTTTTTGTAAAATTATTAATTATTTTATAATTATTACATTAATTTCTAATATTTTTTTTTCTTCATTTTTATTATTGACTAATTAAAATACAATTTCAATTTAAAAATATTTAAATAACTTACTCGAACAGTGTAGCTTGACGGGTGGTAGGCATAATTCTTTAGCGATGTCAGTATTCTTTAATTTTAAGGCTTCATCAACCTACAGTAAAAAAAAATTTATAAATATAAGAAAAAAATTAACGAATTAATTATTATAGAATTAAATGATTATATAATAATTTACATTTATTTTATAAAAAAAAAGAAAAACAAATATTCGATTAAAATTAATTAGTAATTTTTAACTATCTTTGAATGTTTGAATTATTCAAAAATTGCTCAAAAATTACTAATTAATGTTGATCAAATATTTGTGTTTCTTTTTATAAAAAAAAAAAATATATTATTTAATTATTTGGTTCTATAATTGATTTGTTAATATTTCTTTCGACATTTTATATAAGAAATATTAATAAATAAATAAATAAAATAAATAAATAAACAAAATAAATAAATAATATAAATAAATTAACAAAGAGTGTTCACATAAAATTTCTTTAATTTTTTATTGACAGTAATTAAAAATTATAAACATCATTGATAATTTATTTAATTGAAATATTATACCGTTTTTCCTTTGACCCATTCGGTTGCAAGGGAACTTGAAGCAATTGCTGAACCACATCCAAATGTTTTAAATTTTGCATCAATTATTTTTCCTTTTTCGTCAACTTCAATTTGTAATTTCATTACATCTCCACAAGCAGGAGCGCCAACTAATCCAGTTCCAACACGCTTATTATTTTTATCTAATGAACCAACATTTCTTGGATTCTCATAGTGATCTAAAACCTATAGATAATTTTTATATTACGCATTTATATTTTTAATTTTTGTTTGGAAATTTTTTTTTACCTACTTTTTGTTTGTAAATTTTTTAATTAATTTTTCTTTTAAAAATTTCTGAATTTTTATAGAATTTTATCGAAAGGAAAGTTTTTTTTTTCGAATCGCTGATAATGAATCGAAAATCAGATTTTAAAAATAAAAATATCAACTTGTTTTCAAAGAATTTACACATTTTACAAAATTACAATTATTTAACATCATATTGTAATTAAATATCTTCAAAAACAAAATTATTTTCAAAATTGTGGTTTTTAAATAAAATAAAAAAAAAAAAAAAAAATTTCGAAAATTGAATTACTTTTGAAATTTATAATAAATATAATTAAAAACTAGTGACAATACTTTCGATTAAATTATTTCAAAATTTAATTATTTACATTAAATCCAAATTATTATATTATTTTTATAAAATTTTTTAACTATAAAATTCGGAAATTTTCGTGATTTTCAAAAATTTTAATGAATTTCTTTGATAATTTACTGATTTTAACAATTTATATATTAAAAATATTTTTTTTTAAACATTAATTTTAATAATTTAGTTATTTATTTAAAAAAGAAAATTGAATAATTCATTTTTTCTTAAATTGATATGAAAAATTTTCATTGCATCCCTTCGAAAATTAAATTATTATAACAATGTTTAATTTAAAATCATTTAAACTATTATTACCGGATGTCTAACAATTGCTAGGAAAAAAATTCCCTGACTTTTCCCTGACTATTCCCTGGCCTAAATTACACTAAAAAATTTTTTATTTTGATCAAATAAAATTTATTTTGATACAATTAAATCATTTACCTGTCTATTATCCACTAATTTCATATGTATTTGAACCAAATAAATAATGTTTCGTAAAAAATAAAATATTTAAGTGAAATAAATAAACTAATTAGTAACCTATGAATATTCTCAACATTTAATTTCAAAGAATTTTTACGGCGTCAAATCTTAAATTATCAAATTTTTATTTAGTAAAATTATATAAAGCCGATTTTCTAGTACATCGAATTTCAAATTAATACAATTTCAATTTTTAATGGAATTTATTTCAAGAAAAATTGCATAAAGAACAATTTTTTTTAACAGAATTGTTATTTTAGTAAATTTCGATTTATCAAAATATTTACTTAACAAAATTGTCATTGAATAAATTCACAATTAACAGAATTTTTATTTAACAAAATTCTTAATTAACAAAGTTTTTATTAAAGAAAATTTTAATTCGAACTAATTCTCATGTAACAGAATTTTCATTTAAGAAAAATTCTACTCAGTTCTTTTTTTAGCAATTTTTCGAGACATACATTTCGTTAAATTCAAAATTATTTTAATGTAAAATTTAAAGAAAAAGTATTAGAAAAAAATGCTTTATAAGAGTTCTGCTAAATAAAAATTCTTTTAAATCGAATTTTAGTTAAATGTAAATTGAAAATTTTACATAATATAAAATCTACTTTATACAATTTTGCTAAATAACAATAATTTAATATTCAGGCCTCGGATCGACTTAAAGGCACAAAAAAAGTCGTTTTAGTCGATTTATATTCCAAAAAAAGTCGAAAAAATCGATTATTTTCATTTAAACAAAAATATTTTACAGATTTTTCAATAAATTTTTTTTTTAAATAATAATACTTTTGGAAGGGTTAAAGTTGAAATTTTTAGAAATAATTGAATTTCAAAAGATTTTGTTAATTTTCAGACAATAATTAAATTTTACAGAACTAAAAAAAAATTTATCAAATAATTTTAGATAACCTTTTTTAAATGTAATTAAATTTTCAAAAATTTACACTTGAAATTTTTAAAATTAATTGAATCTCAATTAAAATTTTTTTTGATGATTTCACTAAAAAATTTATTAGAAATTGCGAACAAAAATACAATAATTTGAAAATCATTTTTAATTGGAAAATGGTTTCAAATAGTTGAATATTCGATGAATATTATAAAAATAGTTAAAAATAATTGAATTTCCTTAGAATTATAATTGAAATTATTAAATTTCAAAAAATTTTCAATGGAAAATTTTTTGAAATAATTAAGCTTAAAAATCTTTTAAATTCAAATTTTTGAAAATAATTAAATTTTAAGTGAAATTTTAGATAATAATTCAATTTTAGTTCATTTTTGATTGAAAATTTTTATAATAATTAACTTTGAATTGAAATTTTTAAGAATAATTGAATTTTAGTTGATTTTGATTTGAAAATTTTGAAAATAATTGAATTTTCTTTGATTTTGAATTGAAAATTTGGAAAATAATTGAATTTTAAAAGATTTGGAATTGAAATTTTGGCTAATAATTGAATTTTAATTAATTTTGAATTGAAATTTTAAAAAAATAATTGAATTTCAATTGATTGTGAATTGAAATATTGGAAAATAATTGAATTTTCTTTGATTTATGATTTTAAATTAAAATTTTTTGGTAATTTTATTTGATATTTTTTCAAAATTATAAACAATTATTAAATTTCATAAACATTTTAATTGAAAAATAATTTGAAATAATTGAATTTGTGATGAATTTCATTAAAATTATTAAAAATATTTAATTTAGTGAAGAATTTTAGTTAAAAATTTGTTAAATAATTGGAATAAAGAAGATCTGAAGAAGATCGGCATTTTATACTAAAAAAAAATATATTTTATTAAAAAATTTTTTTTTTAAATGTAAAAAAAGTCGAAATAGTCGCATTTTATAAAAATAAGTCGAAAAAAGTCGTATTTTTGAAAAAAAAGTCGGAAATAGTCGAAAAAGTCGTATAATCCGAGGCCTGATTATTCGACGTCGTAAAAATTTTTATCAGTTAAATGTGGGTATTAGCATTAAATAATAAATTATTCTTATTAATGAATAATTTACTTTATTTCAAGTTGAACCGATAAAATAAAATTGTAACAAATAATTTTTATTTTTATTAAAAAACTAAATATTTCGCTCAAAAAAAATTAATTAATTGTTATTCAAGTTTAAAAAATCATTTATTAGATTCAATAAATAGTAGTAAATAATTATTTACTTAATGAATATAAGATATATCACACGCTTAATAATTGAGTGTGAAGGTCAAATTTTTAATTTGCATTTGCTTTAGGAAAAAAGTAAAAAAAAATTTTGAAACTAATAATTACTTTAATTTATTTATAAAAAATTCCAGAAAATTAAAGAAATTCCCTGACTTTTCCAGAACAAATTTCTTATTTTTCCAGGACATTAAATTGAATGACCTTAAGGAATAAAATAATTTTTTAATTTAACTATTGTTGTCAGAAATTTAATAATTAAAAAACAATTTTAATAAATATTATAGTAAAATTCATAAAAATTACATTACGTAATTTATGTAAATTTTCATTTTACTTATTTAATTAATTTTTTTTTCAACTTGATTGACAAAATTTTATAAATTTTTGAAAATTTAAGAGCAAAATATAAAAAATTCAAGGACAAAAATTTAAATTTCCAGGACATTTTTTCAAATTTCAGAACATTTCCAGGACTTCCAGGACTAGTAGACACCCTGCAATTGCGACTATTTCGAAATTTAATTATTTATATATTAAATATAAATAATTATATTATTTATAAACTTTTTAAAATAAAATTTGGCAAATTTTATCATTTTCAAATATTTTAATGAATTTCTTTGATAATTTACTGATTTTAATAATTTATATTTTAAAAATATTATTTTTTAAACAAAAAGTTGTATTATATAATTTAATAATAATAATAATAATAATAATAATAATAATAATAATAATAATAATAATTTTATTTTCATTGTATACCTTTTCAGGCCTTTATAATTTTTTTACAATTTTAAATTTATTTTTCACATTTAATTTTGTATATTTTAGTGTTCAAAAAATTCATCTTTTAATCTATTGGCAAAATATTCACATTTTATCCAAAGTAATTTACCTTTTGAAAATATAAAATTTTTAAAACACGTTTTTTAAAAATATTTCTTTAAAAATCTTTATATTACGTTTAAAACTATTAATTTTTTTTTATATTTTTTTAATTATTTATTTATTTTTAATTTAAAAATTTTTAGTTTAAAACAAAATTATTGACTTTTTAGAAATCAACAATTTTGAAAAGCTTAAATTGTTGGACTATTATAGTTTTAAATTCAAAAATTTTATTTTCTTTGATGCTTTTATTATTAAATTTATCGTTTTTAATAAAAAAAATAAGTAATTTAGTAATTAACTTTTTGAAAAAATGTAAAAAAGAAATTTTTGTTTAAATAGAAAAAATCATATTTAAATCGAAAAAATTAAATTTTTTTAATTTCAAAAAAAAAAAGAAATGATTTTTATTAAAATTTTCAAGTGAAAATCGTCTAAAATTTTATCACTGTTAAAAAAATTAACTGCTACTAATCTTCTAAAATTTAATTAAAATTAACTTTAATAATTTTGCAAAATTGATATCAAAGGATTAATGATTCTACATAACCTATAAATATATAAATTTTTATTATAGATAATTTTCGGAGTTTCATTCAAAAATAATAAAAATAAATCTTTTTTTTACTTTAGAGATAATTTATAAATATATAATAATAATAATAATAAATACAATTGCATAAAATTATGCAAGTATTGCATTCAACTTAAATCGATTTGCAACTATATATACATATAAAATTTTTTTCACAACACATGTATTTATATGACATAATACGACGCAAAGTTAAATTATTTTTTTATAAATAACTAATAGTAAAACAATGAAAAAAGAAATGTCTTATTTTATTAGTGTTAAAATGTTTAATTACAAAAAATGTTATAAATAGTGTATTTTCTTTTTTTTTTAGAAAATTTATATAAAACAAAAAATTAAAAAAAGGTTAGATAAATAATATTGTTACTTACATTAGGATGATATGAAGCACGGGAGCCAGCACTATAGATAATGTTTGCTGTTTCCGATAGTTTGGAGGGCAAACTTCTCCAAAGTGCCATTTTCAATTAAATAAATCAACTGTCAAAGCAAGACAACACTTTTATTTTTGCGTAGATCAAAAAAACGATTGATAAACCACGTGAGACAAAAATACAAAACTACACACACACATTCATGCACTGAGAACATAAATATCAAACAATTTTTACGTCATCGTAAGGCCTAAACATAGTGATATTTAAAAAAAATTGCCAGACAGTCCACGAAACGCAATTGCGCATGCGCTGGAAAGTTAGTTCAAGTTTGGTGGGGGGAAATAAAATATGGCCGTTTTTAAATATCACACATTTTACATTAAAGTTTAGGGAAATTCAAATATAGATTAAATCCAACTGCAAAGTGAAAATTAGGTCATATGATGATTTGATAATCGAATTTAGACCAATTTAAATTCGGTGAAAATTCATTCGTCTCGTCACACTTCGGACGTTCCACTTTATCCTATTTGAGTCTTTTACGCTTCCCAACCCTTAGTGTCACAAGATCGGACGACATTAAATTTTCCAAAGTTGACAGACAGTGTTCTAACTAATTATTTTTCTATTTAATGTCTTAAAAAATAAGTGTTAAAAGGTTTTACATTTTTTTACCTTAAAAAAAATTGTTAAAAGGTGGTTAAAAGTTGTTTAAATGTTTATTAATTTTGAAAAATAAATCAATAATATATTTATTAAAATTTTCACACTAATAAATCCAATCGTGTTTTATTTTTAGTATAGGAATAATAAATAAATTTTGTAGTGATTAAAATTTGTTTATACTGTCAAATAAGTATATTGTTATCAACAAAGGTAAGGTTATCAAAAAAAAAATTTCTATATTTCATAACAAAAACAAAATCATTTTTTTAATAAAATAAATCTTTGTAATATACTTTTAATTTTGATATTATCATGAATAAAAAAATAAATAAAAATAAAATTTCAAAGGAAACTTTAAATTTTTTTTAAATGTTTCTAAAATATTATTTATATTTTAAATAATTGAAAAATAAAAAATTTCAGTTTAATAGAAACAATTAACAATCAATTTTAGAAAAATTCAATTCTAAGGAATAAAATGTATAAAAATATTTTTTATCGACAATTATTTCTTCGAAATAACCATTAAATTTCTGATTTTTAACAAATCGATATATTTTAAAATTATTAAAACTAGATATTAAATATTTAGAAATATTTATAAGAAAAATAATAATTGAATTTTTCCAAAATTTCAATTTTAGATTTTTATAATTAAAATTTAGATTTTAAATTACTTTTTTGTAAATTTGTATTTTGTTGAAGATTTTTTTTCAAAAATTTTAGATAATAATTGTTTATTTTCAATAATTAATTAAATAATTGAATTTTAGAGAATATTTAATTTGAATATTTTTGAAATTTAATTTAATTTTCTGAAAAAAATTTTCAATGTTAATTTAAAAATAAATTATTTTAGCGAAGAATTTTTTATCAAAATTAAGATTTTTACAATTCATTTTTTTTATTATTATTATTTTAATTTTTACAATTCATTTTACAATTAAAATTTTTAGATTAATTAATTGAATTTTATGAAATTAAAAATAATAATTTTGATAAATTTAAATCTTCTGAAGATAATATTAACAAACTAGCGAAATAAAACGCGCGCAAGCGCGCCAAATTGAGTATTTAATTGTTTGTTATAAAGAAATTAAAGATTAATATTATCAATAATAATTTAATTTATTAGAATATTATTACATATTAAATGATAATAATAAAAATTATTTTTTTTTACATTTGAAAAAAAATGTAAATAAAATATATTTTTTTAGTATAAAATGTAGATCTTCTTCAGATCCTCTTCAATTCAATTATTTAACAAATTTTGAACTAAAATGATTCTTCATTAAATTAATTATTTTTAATAATTTTAATTAAATAAATCACAAATTCAATTATATCAAAATTATTTTTCAATTAAATTTTTTATGAAATTTAACAATTGTTTATAATTTAAAAAAAAATATCACAATAAAATTGAATTATTTTTTAAAAATTTTAATTCAAAATAAACTAAAATTCAATTATTACCCGAAATTTTCATTCAATATCAATTAAAAATCCAATAATTATCCAAAATTTTCAATTTAAAATTTAATTATTTACCAAGTTTTCAATTTAAAATGAAATAAAATTCAATTATATTCTAAAATTTCTATTCAAAATTAATTATTTAAATTTTCAATCAAAAATGAACTTAAATTAAATTATTATCCAAAATTTCAATTAAAATTCAATTATTTCCCAAAATTTTCAATTCAAAATTAACTGAAATTCAATTATTTTCCAAATTTAAAATCAAATAAAATTTAATTATTCTCAAAAATTTGAATTCAATATTAATTGAATTTTCAATAATTTGAATTTAAAAGCATCTAAAATTTAATTATTTCTAAAATTGTCCATCGAAAAATTTTTTTTTTAAATTTAATAATTTAAATTATAACTCTAAGGAAATTCAATTATTTTTAACTATTTTAATAATATTCTTTGAAATTTCAACTATCTGAAAATCATAAGATTACTATTCAAAAAAACACGTGAAATCAGAAAAGGCCAACTTCAAGTTAGGACAGAAGGACAGACCAAGCATTTTATTATTATGTATAATTTTTAAAAATTTAACATTTTTAAATTATTTACATTTAAAAAATTTTAATTTTCGAGAAATTTTTATTAAATTTTTTTTTTTTTAATGAATAATTAAATTTTCGAACAATTTCATTGAAATTTAAAATTATTAAAAAAATTTATTAGTTTATCAAAGAATTTTAATTAAAATTTTTTAAATAATTCAATTTTGCAAAAATTAGCAGTTTTATCAAAAATTAAATTTTTTAAAAGATTTTTAATATTGAAAATATTTTGAATATTAAAAAAATTTCATTGAATATAATATAAATTGGAATTTAAATTTCAATAATTATGAAAAAAATTTTCAACAAAAGTTTTAAAAGAGAATTTAATTTAGATTTTTGAAAATAATTAATATTTTGAAGAGTTATAAATTTTTTTTTCTTTTAATATTAATAATTATACATTTTTTAAAAATTAATAAAAATTTTTTTTTTTTAAATTTAAATATAAATTTTAGAATTAAAAATTAATGTATTATATTTTTAATTTGTAAATTAAATTCTAATTTTATTTGTTATTCTAATTAAACTTGAAAAATGTTTAAATAATTAAATTTATCGAAAAAGTTTATTAAAATTTTTGAAATAATGATCAATTTTCAGAAGAGTTTTAATTAAAAACTAAATATAATCATGGCTTCGGACGATACGTCATGGCGTACTCCTTCATTTCGACAAGGAATGGCTTCAAGAATGTAAGAGTACTTAAATTATATAATTTTTTTCTAAACATATATTTGTAATATCATAATTATTTTTTTTTTTTTTGACGAATTTTCAATTTTCAAATTAAAATTTGATAGATTTTATAAAAAATTTTACCTATATAACAAAATTTTTATCAGCATCAAATTTTTGTTTGGCAGAATTTTTATTTTACAGTCATTTTATTAAATGACTTTTAATTTAAAAAAAAAAAATTTTAATTTAAGGGAATTTTTATTTTTACGAATTTTTAATTGATAAAATTTTTAAGTCCTCGAATTTTTTCATTTGTCCGAAATTATAAATGTCCGAACAAATCAATCGACAAAAAGATTATGGCGCAATTTTTAAAATTGATCAATCACAATTTTATTGACAATTTTTATAATTGATCAATTTAAAAAATTGTCCCAAAATCTTTCTGTCCATTGATTTTTTCGGTCATTTATAATTTCGGGCAAATGAAAATTTGGAGTCTTAAAAATTTTATTTATTAAAAATTCAATAAATTGGAATTTTTGTCATTTAAAAAATCGAGTTACATAAAATCCAAATAAATGAAAATTTTATTAAATAAAAATTTGAGTAAATTTTAAATGGCTGTAAAATAAAAATTTTGTTAAGTAAAAATTCGTATAAAAAAAAATGAAATTCTTTCAAATGCTAATCGGAAAAATGAAAATTCGTCTAATAAAATAATTATTTCTATAAATATTTTTTTAAAAATTTATTATTTTTAGAAATACTTGAAATTCTGGGGATTTTAAATTAAAATTTTTTTGTTAATTTGAATTTTTCACAGAATTTTAGAAAATATTTAATTACATTTTTTTTTTGCAATAATTAAATTTTTGAAAAATTATTAAAAATTATATTGATTTGCCGAAGAATTTTGGGATAAAAATTTATAAATACTCAAATTTTTGAATAATTTCTTTTAAGATTTTTAGAATAAATTAAAAAAAAATTCGTGTTACGTATGAAATTCGTAACTTCTTATTAATAAATTATTAACATTATTAATAATTCATTAATACAATACTTGAAAAAGAGGACACATTATGCAACACAAACAAATAACACTTTATAAACATTATAAGAAATGCCTTTAGAATCTCTTAGAGATGTCCAAATAATTATATATTAAATATTAACTTTCAATTAATAACCTAAATTCCAAAGAAGACCTATTTAAAATTCATGATAAAATTGAGAAACTAAGTGAACTAATTTAATTCAAGAAACAAAGGATGGCGCAATAAAGATTGCTGCATCCAAGGTATGTCCATTCAAACTGAACTGGAACACTACCCCAATATTGCAAAGGTTGCAATAAAAACATTGACATCAATAAATTTGTTAAATAAAATATACTTTTCCCCACCAAAAGTCAACTTAATAAAATCAGTTGACACACGAAGATCGAGGTCTTCCAAGTGTGGTCTCCGAGTGAGACAGGTGGAACAACCCCTTAGACCAGGGTTGTTTAAGTCAGTAAAGAGTGAGCTCAGAGTGGAGCTTGGAGTTTGTGAGAGTTTTGAGTTGGAGTTTGAGTCTCTGAGTTGAGAGACTTTTGAAACAAACCTCTAGTTCGAGGTTGTTTCCATTTGGAGTTTTATTGAGTTTTATCTGAGTTTGATTTTTGAGTTGAGATTATTTAAAGTATTTATTTTTGAGTTGAGATTTTTGACAAGAAGAGTATTTAATATTGAATTGTGAATTGATTTAAGAATATTGAGTTTTACAAAGAATTGATAATTGAAGTAGTTGAATAAAGAGAATCTGATTTTTTGAGTTTGATTTAAAGAGTATATAAATGAGTTTCTTTTGAGATCACTTAGTTTTGAGATTAAGATTGAAAATAAATAGTAATTGAGTTTATGTTTTCTATTGAGTTTTGTTTACCATTAATTGATTGAGATAAAGAGAATATTAAATAATTGTAATAAATTGGAGAATTGAAACAACGTTGGAATTGAGACACGAGGAATTCCAAAGGTAAATATACGTAAGAGTTCAGAGACTCTTGACACAATACACACACAACATTATTACACATACATACATTCACACGTAAATTGTATTAGAATACAGAATACTATAATATTGTGTTATTTGAGCTATTACATAATATATATTTATATACAATTAATTAAATATTTGTTTGATCTTTTATTTAAATTATTCCTAACCAATTGTTCTGATTAATATGGATTCTCACCCAACTCACTGAATAATAGTGAGGTAAGGAAGGGATCCACTACCTTTTACAATATAATTTGTCCGAAGGGCAACGTGTGTTAAAGTACCAAAGTCTTTTAGAGTTTTAGAAAATATCAATCTTTGATTGATATTGAATAATTTTCTAATTTTCAAAATTCATCTTTAACAAACTGGTGGCAGCGGTGGGATTCTTTCCTTATATTTTTGAGAATAGTTGGTTTCGGCAATAAAAATAAAATTAAAATTTTTTTTTTTAAATACACAAAACATTTACACAAATATTTTTTATGTGAATTGATATGAGTATATGGTTTATGTTTAGTTACAAGTGCGGGTATATCAGGTAGATTTTTTTTTTCGCTAACGTCGAACATAGGGCAAAGTAACTACCCTTGAATGCCGTCAAGCTCTGGTTTCTTCAAAAAACGTGAAATTTCCTTGAATAACCTTGCCGAAAGTGTGTAGCCACTTGGGCAAGTGAGAGGATTAATACAACGAAATTGTTTAAATAACGGAAATAAAATTTTAAATTAGGCTTTTACCTCGGAAAAAAGTTTTTTAAAAAAAAAATTATATTTGAGTTATGCACGGTCGAAATAGTAAAGTGAAATTATAAATTGAAAATAGAGAGTAAATTGTTATATGTCGTAATTTTGACGCGAAATAAAGAGTTGTTTAGTATAAAGGAGAGACATAATTAGTATAAAAAGAAGTTATTTGAAAAATATCGATGCGCGATAACAAAATCGTAAAGACAGATGATGATTTTTTAAGACGAAAAGGTAATTTTACTGAGTAAAAGAAGAGCGAAATAATTAAAGGGAAATCAAAGAATAAAAACAAAATAAAATAATAAATAGAAATAATAGGTATATGAATACGATGAGAGTGGAAAGAAGATTCCATATTAGATTACAGTTCAGGTGCTAAACGCGATTAATAAAGAAAACTTATAATAAAGATAGTTGAGTTGTTCAATAAAAAAGAAATATTTACGAAAGATGTACTACTAGATAAAATATAGACAGAGTTAGACAAAAAGGGAAATTAAGAAATTAATATAGAATCGTTAGGAATTCTCGATGAAAGGAATATAATAAAGAGAGTACAATTATAATGATACATATTTCGTGTAAATGAAAGATTACGCAAAAAAACGAGAGACCTTGCGAATAGTAGAGTAGGTCTTTAAACCTGGTATATAGGTAACGCGACACTGGATCAGGTTACAACTCAAGTAACTCTGGAATGAGGAAATAAATATTACGAGTATTCTTGCGACAATCATAACAAAGAATTTCGCGAATTAAACATACTTGAAATAAAATAAATTTTAATTTCATTATTTAGAAATCCTTTTCGGAATTTTTAAATAAGTTCTCAGATTAAACTTGGATTTTTTTAGGGATAGTAAAATCCAAAATAAAAAAAATAGATAAATAGACGAATAAAGCGGTGAAACATATAATGAGTATCAGATAAAGATTAAAGTGAACAATGTCCTTCCTTGTGTTTAATGAATTAATACCGTTGACAGTACAAGACGTTTTTAGTGTTGCTTTTCACAATCCGGATTTAATTGGAGGTAGTATTGAGATCATTTTAACCACAGAAACAAAGCATAATTATATTTCTGCTGAACTCTTGGATGTAGATTATGAAATGTGTGATACAGTAGAGGATAATGTTTTAGGACAGCAATTTAACATAATCGGGGGAATAGAACTAGAAGTTGATGATCAAGAAGTTTATTTTTCGGTTATTGAACCACTGCATCCTACCGGAGAAATATTCACCTTAGCTGTAATAGGTTGGAAAACTGCAGGAGGAAATGGTTGGATATCACACCCCTTAGTTGACGAATATTTCGCAAGTTTCGGGTTGTAAAAAAATTTCTGTGGGAATTTTTTTTAATCGCAAAGAAAATATTTTTGGGTAGGGAATAGAATAATTTCAAAAATGTCGGACACACCTCAGCATGGAGCACCCTCTGGAAATGGGGGTAATAGTAGGACAAGAAATTTAAACACTATGACTCTAGGAGAGATATACAGTCATCGTACAGATTTAGGGTTTGGTAATAGTAGGACAAGAAATGTAAACACTATGACTCTAGGAGAGATATACAGTCATCGTACAGATTTAGGGTTTGGAAACGAATATGAAGGAAATTATAATCGCGATAACAAGAGAGGAAATAATAGTACAAGAAATTTAAACACTATGACTCTAGGAGAGATGTACAGTCATCGTACAGATTTAGGGTTTGGAAACGAATATGAAGGAAATTATAATCGTGATACAAATAACAAGAGAGGAAGTAATCGGACAGAACAACACTATAAAAATTTATACGACTATGATGACTACAAATGTACACAGAATAGGTCTCAATCCATATCAAAAAAGAAAGAAAGAAAGAGTTTAAACTGGACACAAGTTCGTCAGCAAACAAGTCTTTATACAATGACTAAAATACCGAAGGAATCACCTGTAGTTGAACTACAAGGAGACTATTTATTTAATAAAACAGCAAAATTTTTCATAGATACAGGGGCAGATATAAATATCATTAAAGGTTCAGCACTAAAAGGCTGTGCCCCAGTAAACGTAAATGAAAAATCTCACATAACAGGTATCACTTCAGATAAAGTTTATACTATTGGGACAATAGATATAATAATTTTGCAAAATAAACACACTTTTCATGTGGTAGAAGACGATTTTCCCATAAATGCTGACGGGGTAATAGGAAAACCATATTTGAAGGATGAAAAAGAACGCATAGATGTTTTTCTAAATATTTTAATATCATCATCCAAGTCTATTCAACCAATTTCTTTGGTAAAAGAAGCAGCATCTACAGAAGAAGAATTCCCGATTAAAGAAAAGAGCATCCCCATTTTACGGAAAAGTCACAACACGATTCCTCCTTCAATTGAAACAGAACACGAATTAGGAAAGGATGATCATTCTGATGAAGAGAAAATACACGAATCTACAAGAAAAATTGACACTTCAATACTAGAAGAACATTGTTATTTTTGGAACAGCCGCATGTTTGAGGAAATCGAAAATATGGAGAATACTAAGACAACAGAAGAATTAGATGCAGAAGAATTTAAAAAACACAAATGTTGGGACGATAAACCAGAACCAAAATCAATGGGTGAAATAATCAAAGAGCCACAAGATATGAATAACATGATACAAGGCTGCTCCTTTATACCAGAAGAAGAGAGAATTGATAAAGAAGAAGGAATATTTTCAGAAGATAGAACCAAAAATCTACTTATGGGAAGGGAAATAATGGAAAATAATAATATTTCCCTTTCTATTGAAAAAGAAAATAAACTGGGACCAGATATAGAAATTTGTAAAAAACATGTTGTGTTGACAAAAATAATAAACAAAGGAATAAAACACAAAAGACAAGAGAGAAAAAGGAAACGTTCATGGAAAATTAAAATAAAACTGACAGAAGTAAATGAAGAAAAGCGACCAATTGCTATACGATTAAAACCACATGCAATAGGACAGACAAACCAGGAAAACAAAAGAAGAATAAAATTATTTCCTAACCAAACAAACGACATCAGGGAAGAACTCAATACTAAGAAAGAAAATGTTTTTGAAAATAGTTACAAGGTTGAAGCGAATAAAACAAAGAGATTTTCACCATACTATCGTGGCCCTTATAATGTTGCGAGAATTATTGAAAAGAATAACGTTAATTTAAGTAATACAGCAAGAAAAAGGTTCCGCAAAAGCAAAGATCAAGTCAAAAGAACGCATTCTTGAAAAAAACGATGATAAATTTTTTTTTTAATAAATAAAGAAAGATTAATATACATCTACACCGATGGCAATCGTAAAAAAATTTTAAAGGGAATGCTCGAACTAGCATTAAATTATAGTTACTTCAATATCATGGAAAAGGCACAGAATAAATAAACTAATAACAGTGCAAAAATTGAAGCAATGTTCAAAGCCATCGCCATATAGTAGAATTAGGGTTTATGCAAATTCTAAGTTTGCAAGTAACAAATTAATAAACTGGTTGCTAAAATAGCAAAATAACGCCACAAATGCGAAATACGTATTAATATTAATTCTGAAAAAATAAGCAATATAATAAAGGGATAAGTCGTAGAATTAATTTTTAACAAAAACCTGATTACAATGGTAAAGTAAGAAATAAAGAAGTAAAAACAATAAAAAAATTAGCGTCAGTGCTAGAAATATTAATAACAGATAAATAAAATAACTTATATACAGGTCGATAATGGGATATAACTATCATACCAATAATGAAACGTATAACAAAATACAATATATTAGATATTTAAGACTATCTGTCTATAATGTAAATTAGAAAAGGGTTTAAATGATTACTAAATGGGTATAAGATAATATTTAAAAAAAAGGGACTAGTGACAAATGGAATTATACAAGTTTTTTTTAAAAAATAGGGTTAAGAAAACTAAGGTTAAAAAAAATAGGAAATAAAATAGAAAACTTGAATCAAATAATCATATACTGTAAAAAATTGATTTAATATAAAATATGCCTTGAAATTTGTTTATTCAATGGGAACTAATGCTAAAAAAATGTAATTCAACAATTAAAAAATATAACTTTCGATGGTGGTTTAGATTAAAATTGAAAGGAAAAAATGAGACTAAAAAAAAACGATATTTTTAATAATTTCAAAAAAATAATATCGTTACATTTGAGCTAAAAAATTATATAATATAAAAAGTACCAAAAACAAAATATATTACATTTTTTTGGACTTTTGCATTGTAATATTTGCTTTATAGCGAATAGGATTTAAAACTCATATTTAACATAGTAACCGCATGATAATCATTATTAAATATAAACTACAATAATAAATTTATTAACAAATAGGGTAAACATGTATACTAAGATACAAATTATTTAATTTATAATTGGAGAAATGTAGATTATAAGAAAATAAATGAAGTAATAAATCACGATACATTATAAAATATAGAATTATAAAATAATAATAATGACATTTTGTGGGAACATATTTTAGAAAAAAAATATATAAATAAATAAAAAAGGGAATAGTAAAAAAAAATTATTTTAAATAACAAATAAAAAAAACGGTAAAGTTCATTAACCGAAACAATTCTAATACTTTAATCATATTCTAAATATGATACATATAAAAAAGGGCATGCAATACATATATAATCTATTGGGTCACTAACAAGTTAAAAAATACATCTTACAAATAAAGCTTTTATACAAACGGAATCCCCAATATTAGTCTTATATCACATAGACTGTCAAGGGACGACAGCCAATAAGAAGGGGGGTATGAAATACCACATTTATAAATATTTTTTTTCTGGTATTTCACATAAAAATAAATTTTTATTGTATTTTTTTCTCCCAATATTCTTTTTCCTTTTTAAATATTGAGACGTCTAAAAAAAGTTTTAAAAAAAACATATTTCAGTTAATATATCAAATTTTTTAATTACATATACACATATATTCTTAATAATAAAATTTGTCTCATATATATATATATACACAAAAAAATAAACATTTTTTTATTATTATTTTTACACACTTAATTTTTTTCATATATTATTTTGCTTTTTTCAAAATCTTGGAACTCTCTACCTTTACTACAGTTTTAATTTGAGAACAGTAATTAATAGAGAATTCCAAATCTTAATCAATTTATTTACAGAAAAATTAAGATTGGAAAACATAATACCAAAAAAAGAAACATACAACACCAGCAACATCCAAAAAACAACACAAGACCAAAACCACAAAAACAATGTAATCAAGAGGGATTTATGTAACTTTTTTCGAAACAACTATTATAATAGACTGTCAAGGGACGACAGCGCTTAGAAGGGGGGTATTTGTTACGTATGAAATTCGTAACTTCTTATTAATAAATTATTAACATTATTAATAATTCATTAATACAATACTTGAAAAAGAGGACACATTATGCAACACAAACAAATAACACTTTATAAACATTATAAGAAATGCCTTTAGAATCTCTTAGAGATGTCCAAATAATTATATATTAAATATTAACTTTCAATTAATAACCTAAATTCCAAAGAAGACCTATTTAAAATTCATGATAAAATTGAGAAACTAAGTGAACTAATTTAATTCAAGAAACAAAGGATGGCGCAATAAAGATTGCTGCATCCAAGGTATGTCCATTCAAACTGAACTGGAACACTACCCCAATATTGCAAAGGTTGCAATAAAAACATTGACATCAATAAATTTGTTAAATAAAATATACTTTTCCCCACCAAAAGTCAACTTAATAAAATCAGTTGACACACGAAGATCGAGGTCTTCCAAGTGTGGTCTCCGAGTGAGACAGGTGGAACAACCCCTTAGACCAGGGTTGTTTAAGTCAGTAAAGAGTGAGCTCAGAGTGGAGCTTGGAGTTTGTGAGAGTTTTGAGTTGGAGTTTGAGTCTCTGAGTTGAGAGACTTTTGAAACAAACCTCTAGTTCGAGGTTGTTTCCATTTGGAGTTTTATTGAGTTTTATCTGAGTTTGATTTTTGAGTTGAGATTATTTAAAGTATTTATTTTTGAGTTGAGATTTTTGACAAGAAGAGTATTTAATATTGAATTGTGAATTGATTTAAGAATATTGAGTTTTACAAAGAATTGATAATTGAAGTAGTTGAATAAAGAGAATCTGATTTTTTGAGTTTGATTTAAAGAGTATATAAATGAGTTTCTTTTGAGATCACTTAGTTTTGAGATTAAGATTGAAAATAAATAGTAATTGAGTTTATGTTTTCTATTGAGTTTTGTTTACCATTAATTGATTGAGATAAAGAGAATATTAAATAATTGTAATAAATTGGAGAATTGAAACAACGTTGGAATTGAGACACGAGGAATTCCAAAGGTAAATATACGTAAGAGTTCAGAGACTCTTGACACAATACACACACAACATTATTACACATACATACATTCACACGTAAATTGTATTAGAATACAGAATACTATAATATTGTGTTATTTGAGCTATTACATAATATATATTTATATACAATTAATTAAATATTTGTTTGATCTTTTATTTAAATTATTCCTAACCAATTGTTCTGATTAATATGGATTCTCACCCAACTCACTGAATAATAGTGAGGTAAGGAAGGGATCCACTACCTTTTACAATATAATTTGTCCGAAGGGCAACGTGTGTTAAAGTACCAAAGTCTTTTAGAGTTTTAGAAAATATCAATCTTTGATTGATATTGAATAATTTTCTAATTTTCAAAATTCATCTTTAACAATTCGAAAATGTCATAAAATATTTTGTCTGAAAGTATGGAAAAAAATAATGAAAAATTTTTTGGCAATCTTGAATATTATTTAAAAGAATTATAAAAGAATTGAAAGTAAAGTGAAACATAATTTTTTTTTTTTAAATTTCCCATTCATAGAGAGGAAGCTATTCAAAAATCAGGAATGCCAACAGCCAAGAACAGCAGCGATATGGAGAGTCATGTATTTATGAAAGCCAAAAACAAAGTAAGTATTAATTTTTTTAACATAAAAAACGTTTTTTTTTTTTAGTTTTTTTGTGGAACAAATAATTTAAAAAAAATAAAAACCCAAAACTAAAAAAATTTTTATTCTCATTTAAAAATAAAGTGGATAAAATTTTCAATGCTAAAAAAAATATTTAATTTAAATTGAATTTAAAATCTTATAATAATTATCCCGATGGAATTCATTACAATAAACATGTAAAAAGAAAATTATTTTTGAGCCAAATTTTTATTTGTTCGAATTACTATTTTGCAGAATTTTCATTAAAACGATTTTCTATATTACACAATTTTTATTTGTTCGAATTTTTATTTGCTCGAATTTTCATTTAACATAATAGGCATTTTAAAGAATTTTTATTTGGTAGAATTTCATTGCATAGAATTTTCATTTATCCGAAATTTGCAAATGTCCGAATAAACAATCGATTTTGGCGCGATTTTTAAAATCAACCAATCACAATTTTATGGATAAATTTTGATTGGTTGATTTTAAAAATCGCGCCAAAATCGATTGTTTGTTTGGTCATTTGCAATTTCGGACAAATGAAAATTCTCTATCAATTAGAAATTCTGTTAAATGATTTTCCGGTTAAGTAAAAATTCTGTAATATGAAAAATTACAATTACAATTACAATGAAATTCTACCAAATAAAAATTCTTTAAAATGCCAATTATGTTAAATGAAAATTCGAGCAAATAAAAATTCCGACAAATAAAAATTCGAACAAATAAAAATTCTGTGAAGTGAATTTTCGGTTATATAAAAATTCGTGTAATATAGAAAATCGTTTTGATGAAAATTCTCGAAAAATTCTAATTCGAAAAAATAAAAATTCGGCTCAAAAATAATTATGACAAATGAAATTCCATAAAATGAAAATTCTAACTAATAATTTTTAAAACATAATCATGCGTCCCGAATTAAAAATTCTTTATTTTTTTTTTTATTATTTACCAGAATTTTCTAAAGTAGATTTTATAATCGAATTTTCATATCGAAAAATTTCTATTTATCTAAATTTAATAGAATTTCTATTTAATTATTATTTTCTACTTTTTCTGCATTTTATAAAATGGAATTAATTAGATATTTTACATATTTAATTTAATCTAGATAAACCAGGATTTGTAGAAATGTTTCTTTTTTTTTTATAAAAAAGAAAGAAATTTTTATAAATGAAATTAAAAATTTCGATAACTTTGAAAAATCGTATGAAATGATTTTGAATTTTGTTTCTAAGTCAACATAGCAAGTACTTATTATGTTTATTCTCTGTTCTTATATTTTGTTTTGTTTCTATATCTTTATTTCATTATTATTGTAAGAGATCGATAATTGAAGTTCAGTTTTAATTTTGTCTTTTGTAATTAGTAATACTTTGATTTTTCATTTAATTTTAATTAGTCTTACTTTTGACTCATTTATTTATTTAACTAATTTATCTATAGAATTTTTTTTTAAAATATGGATTAATTTATGTTTGGTATATAAAATTATAATTTTTTATTCTTAGTAAATTATACTTTTTATCTATTTATTTATATGTATAAATTTTTTTTTGTTCATTAACTTAATATAAACACTTTATTTAAATCAATTTTATTATTTGCAACCAAAAAAAAATAGTAAAAAGAAGAAAAATAGAAAAAGAAAATAAGGGAAGGAAAAGTAAAAAAAAAAATTTATTCTTTATTTTCAGGAGGAATATTTAAGTTTCATTGCTAGATTGATACTTCACGTGAGAGAAATGAGTAAATATTACCAATATATGTTTTAAAAATTATTTAAATAAATTTTGAACAGAGAGCAATTAAATAAAAATTAATATTTGATAGATTCAAAGAAACAAGGTGGAGGAATGGCACCTGGTGGTAATGGTCCAAATCAAGGAATGTCTGATCCAATTGGCGCATTACAAACTCTTGCCAGACAAGGAACGGGAAATAATCAAATGATGGGAATTCCAAACACGGGGGCAAATCCACAAGGAATGGTTCCACAACCAAATACAAATGCGGCAACTAATCGTAAGCTTTTCGTGAAATTAGAAAATTTATTTTCTAATTATTATTTAATCGATTTAAGTTTACAAATTATCTGAATTTTAATTTATCTGCAGATTAATTAACTTTTAATATATATTCGAATTTTTTTTTTTAAACCAATTAATTCAAAAAGTAAAATCCAGTTATCGTTTTTTTTTTTTGAAAAAAAATTTTTCCTCAACTTAATTCTCTAAAAGAAAAAAATTGATTAGTTATTTGAATTACATTTGAATCAATATTGAAATTTAGAAATTATTTCTGCATGTATCTCCTACCAATGGAAATTATAAAAAAAAAAAAAATTCCCCTTTTCCAGTTCTTCAAAGTTTAAATCAAAGACCCGGCCAAGGTGTTAATATGCCTGGTATGCAAAATAAAATGCCTGGAATGGGTATAATGCCAGGCCAAGCAACGGGTGCCGTTGGTCATATTGGTCAAATGCAAGGAATGCAAAATAGTTCAATATTAACGCAAATTAATCAAATTGGCCAAGGTAATATGCCACAGCAAATGGTACAAATTGGACCTGGCCAAATGGGACAAATGGGAACACAAATGGGTGGTGGACAATCGCAACAAAATATACAGGTTTATATTGAATTTTAATATATATTTATTTTTTCATGAAAATTTTTATCTTTCAAGTTTTCATTTTTTTTTTCTTTTTCGTTTATCCGAACACAGAATCAAATTCCAAATCAGGTTCCTGGGCAAATGGGAGGTTCAATGGGAGGTGGTTTACAAAGTGGGATACAAAATAATTTACAAACTGGTATGCAACAACAAATGAATCAAATGGGCACGGGACAAATTGGTGCCAATCAATTGCAACAACAAATGCATAGCGTTCAGAGAAAGGTGAAAAATTGAATATAACTTTTTTTTTTTAAATGAGAATTAATTTGAAAAATTCATTTATTTAGCCTCCGGAAATGATGAATGTTGGTTTTCCTGGACCTAGAAACGTTACACCGAATCAATTTTTAAATCAAAGTCCTTCACCTTCTGCACCGAGTCCAGGAGGACTGGGCGCTCCTCAAAGGTATTTTATTTTTTTCTTTCCCCTTTGAAAAAAAAAAACTAGAAGTTTATTTTTCTATTTTTATTTTAAGCAACCAAATGGTACCTTCACCAGCTTTGGCTCCTTCTCCAATGTCTCAACCTTCAGTTCTTTCAGGACAACGTTCAGTCGGTACGTTTAATAGTATTTTTTTAAATCAATCATTGGCTATTCTGAAAATTTAATTTATTTTTTTTGTTTTAATTACTACTAAGGTATGGCACCTTCTCCTAGTAGTTCATTAAATACTCCTGCGGGTATGGGAACAGCTCCAAGTCCAATGGAAGATCATGTTTATAAAGAAACACTTCGAAGACTAACAAAATACATTGAACCATTGAGAAAAATGATTACCCGATTAAATGGCGAAGGAAGTAAGAATTTTTTTTAAAAAAAATTTTATTTCGAAATTTTTTTTTGCTTTTAGCAATCTAAACGTTTGTTTAATATTTAAAGATGCTGATAAAACGGCTAAAATGAAAAAACTTCTTGAAATTTTATCGAATCCATCAAAAAGAATGCCAGTGGAAACATTACAAAAATGTGAAATTGCATTGGAGAAAATGGATTTTTCTAAAAGAGGTGATGGCAGTGTGGGACCTGCACTTGCAACATTAAAGGAAAATCATTTTTTCAGTCCTCTTTTAGAAGCAGTTAGTTCACATTTACAAAGTCCTGTTGCTAATCATACTTTACAGAGAACTTTTGGACCTTGTATTGAAGCATTTTTTGGTCCAGAAATTAAGTAAGTTTAATTAATTTTTTTTCTTTTCAGTGAAAAAATTTTTCTATTATTGAATAATTTTTAGAAATTTACCACCTCCATTGAAGAGGCAAAAAGTTGAGGAATCAACAAGTGAAATACCTGATGTTCTACAGGGAGAAATAGCAAGACTTGATCAAAGATTTAAAGTAAGTTAAAAGGACTCACTAATTTTTAAATCTTCAGATTCTTTTTAATTAAATTTTTATTTGTTTTTTTTTTTGGTAAATTTTATACTATATATAGTTTTTTTTTTATACGTTTAGGTAAGTTTGGATCCTGCACAACAAACCGGATCATTGTGCATTCAATTGATATGCTGGTTAGATGATCGTCATCTTCCTTGTGTGCCACCAGTTTCAGTGTCAGTACCCGCTGATTATCCATTGACACCACCTCGATGTGTTATGGCACCACATGAATATACCACTGCATTTCTCAGTGGTGTTAAAGATGCCTTAACAGCACGAATTTCAAAACTTCCCAAACAATTTTCTGTTTCTCAACTTTTAGATACATGGGAAATGAGCGTTCGTCAAGCAAGTGCTCCATCATCTAAAACTCCAACATCAACTGGTATTTTAATGGGAACATAACAAAATTATTATACCTATATATTTATATATATATAAATATTTATTTTTTACCAATGTACAATGAATTTAATTTTCATTTTGTATTCTCATGTGGAATATTAATATAAGATTACAAATATAATTTTTTTTTAAAAGTAAAATGTACAATTTAAATTTAGGATAATAAATTCTTTAAGAAAAAATTTACAAAATTAGATTTTAATTATTTTAATATGTTTATAAAAGTTGACAAAGAATACAATTGAGCGTCTACATGCAATAATCGGTCGAGCACTCGGCTGAACGCTGTAATGCCAGTCAGACGGGTCAAAAAGTAAAAAAAAAAAGAAAATGAAAATTTTGATTTTTAAAAAATAGTACCATGCAGAAAATGAAGAGACGCATCTTTTTTTCCTTTGAGATTTTTTTATAGGACGAAAATTTAATTTAATAAATCCAAAAAACTGAAAATTTTTTTTTCACTATTTTCATTATATTTTTAAACATAAATCGTCGTAACTTCCACAAATATTAATGAAATCGATTAAAATTCGGTATACAAACGCAATAGGGTCTAGAGAACATTGCCGGACATGCTTGCTTATATACGAAAATAAATAAAAAATATGTACGAAAACAAAACACTATCGCCTACTATTATTCTAGCAGACGAAACTCTCCACGCGGCGACTCGCTAGCGCGCCACCCGCTTTTTCAAAAAACACTTATATTTTTGAAAGTTGTGAATGAATTGACTCGAAAATTTCCAAAAAACTTCTTTATATATTAATAAACAAATGTCTCACTGGAAGTTCTTTCAACTCGAAAGTTCCTCACAGACTTTTTCTCGGCGAAGGTAAGAAATCGTGATTATCGACACGTCATTAATAATAATAATAATTTATTGAATAATTAATGATTATAAATTTTTTTATTAATTTATCGTATTCTTTAGACCCTAATGCGTTTGTATACCGAATTTTAATCGATTTCATTAATATTTGTGGAAGTTACGACGATTTATGTTTAAAAATATAATGAAAATAGTGAAAAAAAAATTTTCAGTTTTTTGGATTTATTAAATTAAATTTTCGTCCTATAAAAAAATCTCAAAGGAAAAAAAGATGCGTCTCTTCATTTTCTGCATGGTACTATTTTTTAAAAATCAAAATTTTCATTTTCTTTTTTTTTTACTTTTTGACCCGTCTGACTGGCATTACAGCGTTCAGCCGAGCGCTCGACCGATTATTGCATGTAGACGCTCAATTTTATAAAACAACAACCAAAGTTTTCATAAGTTTGAAAACTGCAGTAGAAATCCAAGTTGCTTCTTATGTAGAGAAAAGTATGGCGATAAGGCAAACATTTTTAAAAAGTACTTTTTTTTTAAAGGTACATTTGGTCCCTGAATTCCACGGGAATCATTCAAAATTTTTTTTTTGCCCAAAACCTTTTTCTTCGAAATCTATATGAAAAATAAGAAAATACGTATTTTTTTATATTTTTTTATTTCATAAAAATGAAGTAATGATTTTTTTATAAATTTAACGTCATCAAAGGGAGTGTATTTTTGAAGCAATAAAAATGTTGAAATTAAATTTAAAAATTGAGTTTTCTCTAAGATGGACACTTTCGATCTTTAATTTTTTTTTTGCACTTCAATCTCTGATTACTGAAGGATTTTTTCCCCTAACTGCAAAAGTGGTTTTTTTAGTTTTTAAATTACTATTTACATTTTTTAAGTTAGACGCAAACATTTATAGTATGTATTTTTGAAAATTAAAAAAAAAACAAATAAACGATAATAGAAAAAGGTCATATTTGAAGAATAACTGCTTAGTATAATATAGATTTCGAAAAAAAATGTTTCGGGAAAAAAAAATTTTAAATGAAAATTTCCCGTTGAATGCACCTAAAAAATAAAATAATGTCGGGAATTTACATAAAAATAAAAAAATTTTATATTTTCTTTTCAATTATTCTTTTCTTTAGCAATACTTTAAAGAAATAGATAAAACGAAATATTTATGATTGTGTTTTATCGTTGTTGTAAAATCAGTAAAAATTTAATACATTTTTTTTATGATTTTAAAATTTTCTTATTTCTCGATAAAAATTATTTATTATACAAATGGAGGAGAAAAATAAGATTTTAAAATTTAATTTTGTTTTTTTTATATAATTCACTTTATTCAATTATTGTTCAAAAATTTAAAAGAATCGATATTTCCATTATGATAAATGTAAAAAAATTAGGAGATTGTTTTTATGTAATTTTCATTGCAATTATAATGTAAAAATTCATCTACTCTTTAAATTTGAATTAGTAGAATTTTTTACTTTTTTAATTAGTACTATTATATATTTATTTAAATAATTAGAGTTATCAATTAACTTTTTCTGAATTAATTAGTAGAATGAAAATATCATTATTTAAAATTCAAATTATTTCCTTTTAAACATTCATTAGGAGTTCCGAAGATTTTTCCTCTCATACAGCTTTCATAATGATAATAATGAGCTTTTATGTAATTTTCATTGCATGTATAATCTAAATACACTATACCAAATGCTCCGTAACTTGGTAATATTTCTCCATTTTCAATAGTAAAATGGGGAGAATTAGTATTTAAACAATCCTTATCTAAAAAAAAAATAAAAATTATTTAAATTTCACAGTTGATTAAAGATAAAAATTAAATTTTTTCAAAATTTATTTTTGTATGATTTATACTGAAATTATCCCCCCCCCACCCTACAAAAAAAAATTCTTAGTATACCTGAGGTAATAAAAAAAAAGATAAATTATTTTATGGCGAGTAATTGAGAAAACTGAAGAATTAAATACATACGATAACATATAGAAGCATTTTTTGTAATCCATTCTCCATCAATGCAATAGATAGTTGAATCTCCTCGAAGGGTATAATTTACTTTGCAGTTAAGAGTAGCAATGTCACTATTTTCCTCATCGATTGTAAAATTTGCATCCTTATAATTGTGTAAATATTTTTCTAGTTCTTAAAATAAGTAAAAAAAAAAAAAAAAAAAGTTGTAAAAAATTACTTTTTTTAAGACACTCACAGATATACATACCCTTTAATTTTGATGTAGAATTACAAGGCGTTGTATCATTGTTTACATTCTCATCATTATTAGAAGTTTTTTTATTCTTTTTAGATTCGATAAAATATTGTAGATTTATAACAAAAAATGTCACAATAATCAAATTAATTATATTAGTAGTCATTTTTAAATTTCAGCCTGCTCAAGAAATGTGAAAAAATTGTAAAAAAGAAACTTTAAGTTGACACTGTCTAATGTATTAAAAAATAGATAAATTTATTTAAAAAAAAAAAATTTTTTTTTATCTACTCAAGTGAATATATTTTTTTTTACAACAAAAATGTGACAAACAGATAAAAGTAAATGATTAAATTTTTTTTACAAACCTACTGTCGTTTTAAAAATAATAATAAATGAAAATTTCCTCAGACTAAATTGATAATAATATTCAAATTACGATTATTTATATACTATTTTTTGGTATGGGTGATGTGTATTTAATAAATATCTTTGCGCGCGACCTACAAAAATTTTTATCATTGTACAAACATTCTATTATGTAGGTGAAAAATTATTCTATAAAATTTTTCATCATAAATTAGAAAAATATGAATTTTTATAGTTTAAAATGAAAATTTTTTAAAAAATTGATGAATTTCAGTTAAAATTTTGCCACTTAGGGATTTTTGGGATCGCTGATGACGAATTCGAAATTAAAAAATTAAAAATGGTAGATCCAATATAGCGGACGAAAATTTAAAAAAATTATTCGATTTTTATGAAACTTGGTTTCTGGAATATTTTTGGATCGTTGATTATAATTCTTAAGTTGAAATTAAAAAATTCAAAATATCGGATCCAAAATGATTTTGAATTTTATTTTTTTAATTGATTTATTAAATAATAAATTACTTTCTTATAGATGATTTTATAATTTGAGTACATTATTTTTAATTAAATATTTTAATAAATATAATATAATTTTATAAAATTTCAAAATTATTTTTCTTGCGCTCTGTTTGTTTGTTGTCTCTATGAGGATATTAACCCTTATATACTTGACTCAATATTACTGCATTTGATATAGCGAGACCAATTATCTGTAAATAATAAAAAAAATATATATAATATAAATAAAATATTATAAAACCCTATAATGAAAATAATATTTAAAGTTTATTCTATAATATTTTATTGTGCATAAATTAAAATTACCGCTTTAAATGTCTCTAACGAAAGTATATAAAACGGACCGCCAGTAAGAAGAATTGGTCGTTGTGAACGAATTGTAACCATAAGTATTAAATACTTCACTTTTTTACCTCTATCAAATTTTTTATTCTTCAATTCTAATGTATCAAAGGAGGAAACCCATTCGCAAGCATACGCGGCATCTGCTACCTTAAATCCCTAAAAAGGAAAAAAAAAACCATCAACATTTTACAACACTTAATATTTAGTTTATTTTATTATTATGATTTTTCTTTACTTATTAAGGCCAGGTCCAAGTGAGGCAGCGCCATCTACAATGATACTAAAATTTTGGAAAATTTTTAACAGTCTTTTCTTGAAAACAAAATGGTAAAATGCTTTTTCCTTTATGGATAATTGATTATTGACAAGATATACACCAGCTAAAACTTTTTTTAAGTTAAAATAATAAAAAAAATTTCATGTTAATAAATTAAATATGAGCACTTTTTTCACAAAAACTGTAACAGTACTTTCTCAGAAATTACAATCAAAAATGCAATTTCCATTTGGAAAATTAATAAACGCTAAAAAATACACGACCTAAGATTTACCAATCACGAAAATAACAAAAAAAAAATTTTTATTAAATATTTAACATATTGATACTGCTTTACTGATTGTGACAGCCCTTTGGTAGATTATGTATTTCAGGTGGTTAGCAACAGCGCCAATCTCCTCCTTTCGACAAAACTGCGAAACGTCTGGTGACATATATAACCTGCCAAACGGTTGTCATAAGGAGTAAAATATGTTATGTTAAAATACTTTTTTTTTGTTATTTTCGTGATTGGTAAATCTTAGGTCGTGTATTTTTTAGCGTTTATTAATTTTCCAAATGAAAATTGCATTTTGTGATTGTAATTTCTGAGAAAGTACTGTTACAGTTTTTGTGAAAAAAGTGCTCATATTTAATTTATTGACATGAAATTTTTTTTATTATTTTAACTCAAAAAAAGTTTTAGCTGGTGTATATCTTGCCAATAATCAATTATCCATAAAGGAAAAAGCATTTTACCTTCTTGTTTTCAAGAAAAGGCTGTTGAAAATTTTCTAAAATTTTAGTTTCAATATAGATGGCGCTGCCTCACTTGGACCTGGCCTTAAGCCGATTAACAGTTTTTTTTTTAACTATCGAATGTCAACCTAATGTCTATACACAGCTGGATATAGACATTAGATAAATCGAATCCACACCCCGAAGGTTGTAATTTATCCATATATAAAGTAATAATATTTTTTGTAAAATAAAAAAACAAACCAGTGATTTTATATGTGTTGCAACAAAGCAGAAGAAAAATAACTGTATGGTAATTGCACTCACAAATTCAATCATTGTCAAAATTTTTAAAATGCACTCCGCATCCATCTGTATTTAAAAATTTAATAATAGAAGCAAGTAACAAAAGAATATGCGTGGGAAATCTTTACGGATATATTCCAGGGGGGAGGGGGTTAATTGCGTAACTTTTTCCGGATGCCACATTCCGCATTCCACATTCTGGATTCCACTTTCAATATTCCGTATTTCAGATTTCATATTCCAGATCCCACTTTTAAAATTCCCTATTCGGGATTTCACATTTCGTATTCCACATTCCGTATATCACTTTTAAAATTCCGTATTTCGGATTCCACATTCCGGATTCCACTTTTTACATTCCGTATTTCGAATTCCATATTCCGGATTCCACTTTTCACATTCCAGATTCTACATTCTGAATCCCATATTTCGGAATCCACTTTTTACATTACGGATTTTACATTTCGGATTCCACATACCGCATTCTGAAAGAGGAATCCGGAATACGAAATGTGGAAAATAGAATACGCAATGTGGGATCTGGAATGTGGAAAGTAGAATACAGAATGTGAAATACAGGATCCAGAATACAGAATTTTAAAATTGGAATCCGGAATGTGCAAAGCGGGATCCAGAATGTGGAAACCGGAATGTGTAAATCGGAATATGGAATCCGAAATGTGGAATACGGAATGTGAAATGTGGGATCTGAAATGTGTAATCCGGAATGTGGAATCTGAAATACGGAATTTTGAAAGTGGAATACGGAATTTTGAAAGTGGAATCCGGAATGTGAAAAGTGGGATCCGGAATTTGGAATCCGGAATGTGGAATCCCAAAAACGTTACGTAATTGACCCACCAAATGTAAAAGAATATTCATATTTTCATTTCGTTTAACCTTCAAACTGCTATATAACGGTCTCTTAGACCGGGAAAAGCACTAAGCGTATCTTTTTTTTTACACCTAGCAGTGTTCAACAGTTAATTTTAATGAAATACAAATAAACCAAATAAAATTTTTGGTTACAACCATTAACTAAATTAGCAATTTCTACATAAATAAGTATATATTAGGTTAGAAAAAAGAACTTAACAGTATAATCAAGTGTTGCCGCTTCAAATGATGAAAGACATAAAATAATAATATTTTGCACACATTGAACAAACATGCAGGGACTTCCAACTTTCTCTAATTCTTCTAAAAAACTGTTAAATAATTTATTTTTCATATCGCAGAAACAAATAAATTCACTATGCAGCAAAAATTCACAGAAAATTAAAAGGCATTAAAATAAGCTGCAACGCTTATTATTTTAATCCAATTTTGCTTACTTTTAATCCATTTTGGTATTAAAATAAGCAAAATTGGATTAAAATAATAAGCGTTGCAGCTTATTTGAATGCCTTTTAATTTTCTGTTTTAACATATCCCCCACAGCACCGAAACTTTCCTTAAGATTTCCTAAAGATTTATTTGAAATGTTCGGAATATATTTAATTGCAATGTTTCGGGAAAATTGTGTAAATGATATAAATGTCCCGATTAAATAAATGTTCAGGAAAGTTTAGCGCTATATAAACATTTATTCAAGTGTGACATTTAAATCTTTATAAACAATTTTCACAAAACATTGCAATTAAATATTCCGAAGATTTCAAATAAATCTTTAGAAAAGTTTCGGTGCTGTGGGGGATATTTTTATCTTACTTTAAAACTTCTGCATATTGTATGGCACATTTTTTTAATCTAGTCTCAAAACAATTGTATTGTGTTACATCTCCTCTGAAAAATAGTATCATTTAATAAATTTATTATTAAAAGACTCCATAAATTTTTTTTTTTTTTCACCTAGATGATTTTATATCCACATTTTGAAATTGTAGAGAATTTAAAAGATGTTTTATAAAAGCAGAAATAATTATTAATGTCGATACATATAATTGATCATAAGAAACACTTCCTACGCAACATCCTAAAACACCAAAAATTTGTAAAATATATGAATATCCAAAATAATTATTATCATCCCATGGAAACCATCCATTTATTGGTAATATTTTTGATACATTTCTACTATCTTGATGTTGTATATAAATTTTGTATAAACGAAATGATAGTGGATTGCAACAATAGTGTAAAGCACCTGACATTCCTAATGCAGGCCACAAAATTATAAATAATTTACTTCTTTTTCTTGCTAATTCCATTTCATTATGAAATTCTTCTTTTTCTGAAATTTTTTCATATTCATATATAATTTGAAAACAATAAAAATTTATGCAAAAATTCCTCAAAAATTCTTGTATAAAAATATTCACTATTAATTTTCCCCTTGGAAAATATATTCCCAAAATGTTTGAATATGGGTGATTCTACAAACGAGGGAATTATGAGCGGTCAAGTAATAGTTGTAGATTATTAATATGAAAATAATTACATGACATTACTCTATACCTTATTTATAAAATATCATCTTGAATTTTGTCCCTGGATTTTGTTATCATTCGTCTGGCAGTTAAAAACACGTTAAAATTATTAAAAATCAACATTCTGATGAAGTTCCCTCACAACAAAAGGATATCCTCAGGATATCCTAAACTAATGTAGGATATCCTGAAAACGTCCATAGGATATCCTAGGATATCCTGAGGATATCCTCAGAACATCCAAACCGCCGTTACGTAGGATATTTTTGGGATATCCTGAGGATATTCAAGGGATATCCCTGGGATATTCCAGGGATATCCTAGTGATATCGTGGGGATATTCTTGGGATAAACTTGGTATATCGTTAAAATATTCTAGAAATATCGCTAAGATCTCCCTAGGATATCATTATGATTCAAATTTTGACTATTTGAAATAGCGATTTTTTGATACAAATAGGTTTCCCGTGATTGTCAATCATCTTTCAAATCTGGGCTGTTACCTTAGGACGTAATTGGACGTCCTGAGGATATCCTTGGGACGTTCTAAGGATATCCACAGGATATCCTAATAATATCCGGGGAAATAATTAGGATATCCCTGGGACGTCCTAGGGACATCCTTAGATATCCCTGGGATATCACTAGGATATCCTAACCGCCGCTACTTTGGATATCCTTAAAGTATCCTTAGGTTATCTCTGGGGTATCCCTAGGATATCCAAGGGATGTTTTTGGAATATCCTAGGATATCCGGGGCTGTGAGGGTTACAGTTCATTATTGTTGTTAATTAAACTAAACTGATTACGAATCCGACGTCAGTTTTTCAAAATTGAAAATGGCGGATCCAATACGGCGGACGACTTTTGAAAAAACTTAATATATTTGTCTGCGAAAATAATTACTCAGGGGTTTTTGGGGTCGCTGATTACGAATCCGACGTCAGTTATTTAAAATTCAAAATGGCAGATCCAATATGGCGAACAAATTTTGAAAAAACTTATTAATTTCAATTAACCTGTTTATCAAAATTATAGGTGCAAAAAATGTTTTATTCCATACTTTTTCTTTTTTAGAATTACCAGATTACGAGTTTGAAGCCAGATTTTCAAAATTTGACTATTTTAAAGAAATATCTTAAAAATTGTGGAATTTTAAAAATTGGACTTTAGATTAGTTTTCAATAATTCAAAAACATCTGGATTTAAAATTTAATAAAAATTAAACAATTTTTTAAAAATTCGTTTAATAGATTAGATTTGCATATTTTAAATATGAAAAACTGACGTTGGAATCGTTATCAGCGACTCTACAAAGTTACCAAGTAAGTATAGTTTCCAGTGATTTTAAATATTTGTCCGACATATTGGATCCGCCATTTTGAATTTTGAAAAACTGACCTCTGATTCGTAATCAGCGACCCCGAAAACCCCCGAGTAGAGAGTTTCAAGCAAATAGGAACGATTTTAAAAAAAAGTCCGCCATATTGGATCTGCCATTTTAAATTTTGAAAAACTGATCTCGGATTCGTAATCAGCGACCCCAAAAACCCCCGAGTAGAGAGTTTCAAGCAAATTCGAACGATTTAAAAAAAAAGTCCGCCATATTGGATCCGCCATTTTGAATTTTGAAAAACTGATCTCGGATTCGTAATCAGCGACCCCGAAAACCCCCGAGTAGAGAGTTTCAAGCAAATCCGAACGATTTTTTTTAAAAAGTGCGCCATATTGGATCCGCCATTTTGAATTTTGAAAAACTGACCTCTGATTTGTAATCAGCGACCCCCCGAGTAATAAATTTTGTATAAATCCATCCATTATTTTTTGTGTTAATGTGAATTTTCTATACACGATCTTAATATCTTGGATAAATTGTTTTTGTTCATTAACTTAAAGTTAAAGTACTTTTCAGACCTTAAATGAGAAAAAAATGTTGTTTCCATATTTTCTTCATTTTCGTCCTTCGTTTGTATAGAATCACCCATATATTTTACGTCAACATTTTTGGGAGTTTTACTAAAAAAAAAATTTTTACAAATATTTAATTTTTAACAAATTCTTATTTATAATATACCTTTTGAATTTGTACAAATATCGAAAGAATAGAAATAACATTGCTTTAATTGTGACAATAGATGAGTTATTTTATTAATGTTTAACGTACAAAAACACCATTTCATTAATCCAGTAATGTGTAATGAAACAGGTCCAATTCTTGTTGCTAATTCTCTTGCATTTTTTGCATTTTTAAAATCTATTAATTCCGATAATATTAGACATAAATTAGCAGATAGAAATCCACTTATTATTATTTGTGTGAAAATATTTAAAGCTAATGGAAATTTTTTTTCACTTTTATATATACCAAGAAATTGTAATGTATCAAATAAATGTGGAACATAATTATTGAGACAAGTTTTCTGACTTATCAAAGTCATAATGAAATATTAGTTTATATTTTGTTCTTAATAACCATATTCTTATTTCGCGTTTGTGATAAAAACAATTAATTTCAACTCTATTTATAAGTAATTAACTTTTTTTTTTAAGTTCAATTTTATATAAAATTAAAAAAATAGTTATGAAAAAAGTCCCAAGTTTTTTTTTTATTTTCGTTTTCTAACTAGAGTATCGAATAAATGTCTCTATAGAAATTCTGTACTATTAAAACTTTGAAAAATCGATACGAAATTGCTCTATAATTTATTATTTACACATCTTTGGAACTTTGTCTTTATCAAACTGATAAACGTTATAATTTCTTGGTTTCTTATTTCTCTATTGGAATTCAATTAAATATTCATAGACATCTAAAACTTTGTGTTTGGAAAATCACAGTTCTAAATTGATTTTACAAATACAAATATATATATATATATATTTATCATATAGGAGGAAGTAAACTTTCCAGTAGTTCTGATTTAAGTTGACAATTGCTTTGGAAGTTTATAATTTTTCTATACAGAATAAACTATATGCTGTACAGTAAATAGTAATTTTCAATTTTAAAGCAATAAATAAATTTTGATATAGGGAGTAAAGAATTTTTTTTTTTTTTTTTTTTTTTTTTGAAAACTGCAAAAATTAGTTATAACAATACAATATTATTGATATTATCACGTAGAGAAATAATAAATAGATTTAAGCAAATCAAGAAACATTGTTTTATTATCCCTTTTCTTGTACATACATTTTTTTTAACAAGATTTATTTAAAAAGTAAAGTTAAAATCAAAATTTTTGAAGTTGAAATCAACTTTGAATTGAAATTAATTCACATTACGTTTAGTTAATGAATTACGTAGTGAGATACAAATAATCAAATTTTACGAGTAAAAAACATCAAATTGGTGAAATCTCTTCTTTAATCTTAGGGGTGTCTGTGTAAAATTGCTCCTTGTTTTCCATTCACCTTTAAAATTTACAGTATTCACGCATAATTAATAATAGATTTGCAGCTTAAAATCGCATATAAAATATCTTGCTTTTACCAAAATCTGTCGTAGTATTTTAAATTTACTGTAGATTTATGTATACATGTTCTCCAATTCATATTTCGTTATCTCCTTCATCTATAATCTCTAAAACAGAAAAGGATTTTAACATAATAGATGGTATGTAAGTTTTCAAAAAGCTTAATTATATTATTATTATTTATTATATGTATATTATTATTATTATTATTATTATATAATTATTATTATAACACGGATATTATTCAGATTTGTTTCCGGTCCCTTGAATTTTTCTATATAAGTCTATGTTAAAATACTCGCTTACATTGAACCCCGTTATATCGGAAACCCACTAAAATGGGACCAATTTTTAAACCCCTTGAGTTTAATTTTTCTTAAAAAAAATTGTATAAAAAATTATCGACATAGAAATCTACCTTACCGACTGATGGTAAAACAGTTTTTTTTTGAAATATGAATATAATATATTATAAAGAAAATTACCGACGCCAAAATCTGCCTTACCGACTGAAGGTAATTGTCGACTGATGGTAAAACAGTTTTTTTGAAAAATTAAAATAGAAAAATTATACCGACACAGGAATCTACGTTACTGCCTAATGGTAAAATAGTTTTTGAAAAATAAAAATAAATAAATAGAAATAGAAATCTGCCTTACCGGCTGATGGTAAAGTATTTTTTGTTGAAATTTTACCAACTTTTTCAAAACTGTTTTACCATCAGTCGACAATTACCTTCAGTCGGTAAGGCAGATTTTGGCGTCGGTAATTTTCTTTATAATATATTATATTCATATTTCAAAAAATACTTTACCATCAGCCGGTAAGGCAGATTTCTATTTTTCTTTTTTCAAAAACTATTTTAACATTAGGCGGTAACGTAGATAATTTTTTACCGTGTCGGTATAATTTTTCTATTTTAATTTTTCAAAAAAAAAACTGTTTTACCATCAGTCGATAAGATAGATTTCTGTGTCAGTATTTTTGAAATCCGACATACATGGGTTTCACTGTATATTATGTATGTAAAAAATATTTGATAAAATTAAATATTTTTCAAATTGTTTGAATTAATTGAACTAATTGATATATTTTTTTAAGTGTAGATGAATATTAAAACTAAAGTGGTCATACCTCTATTCAAAGAAGCTTTCGAAGTGCGCACAATTTTAGTAATTCTTAATCGTTTTTTAAGTATTTCAAGAATAAAAACGATGATAGAAAGAGAATATCCAATAATAAGTACAGTAATTAAAATAGGTTTTGTTATTAGTCTCGGCGAAGTATTAATGTTGCGTGGAGGTACAAAAGGGTGATTAATTTCTTCAAGTAATCCAAATTCTTTTGCTCTTCGAATTATTACACGTAAATAATTGGTATAGTATAAAGAAAAAGGTTCAAAACTAATCCCATAATTTCCAAGAGTTTCTTGTAGTATTTTAAATTTTGATTTCCCAATTTCAGTTTCATATTTGTTGACATAATATTCAGCATCAGGAATAAAACAGGTTATGTTCTGATAATCAGCCATGTATTTTAAGCAATCTTCCGGCTCTTTTGAAGATCTTATTAGGTATTTTTTTGACAATTGTTGAACATCAGAATTTTGACTTTCAATTAATGAGTAATATTGATTGTCACTCATCACTGGCGTCAAGTGCGATTTAATAAGTTCTGCTGTAGAAGAAATTTCAACAGCTGATCGAAAATTGATTAAAGTTTGATTAAAAAATACCGAATAAATATAGCCTGTATAGACAATGCATGCTATCATTAGTGAAACAAAAACTACCCTTTTTGACCAATTTTCAAATTCTTGAGTATCAGATATTCCCATTATAATTTTACTAATGCTAAACTTCAGTAAATATCCCGTGAGTCGTATAACAGCAATTGTACCAATTGTTCCCAAAATTATAAACCAAAATTCTGATGAAATTGCAATATCTTTAGTTAGTTTTACATTCTTTGGAATAACAGCTTTAACACTATCAATTTCTAGAATTTTATCTGCTTCTGATAAATCAACATTATTATCATAAAACACGATCGTTTCCAAGCTGAAAATTTCATCGTCAAAACTCACATTTAAATTTATCAGTGTCTCTGGAAACCATTTACTTTGAGATGTTACCACTTCAGTGAAGTAATTGTTATTCACACTATGATTAGTTATTGTGCTTAATACTGGTAATCTTTCGAAATTTGATGAAAGTGTTACTTGTTCATAATGTAAGGTCAATACAGAAATGTCAACAAAATTATCGTAAATAAAAGAGTTTAAGTCTCTGATGATATCGCTATGAATTGAGTAATTAGAGTTTACAACTAAAAACTTTCGTTGCGAATAGTTATCAACATTACGTAAATCTTTAAAAATTTGAGTTAATTTATATTCAGTTCTACCTTTCATCCATTGTAGAACAAACAGTATACTTCCTCTTAGTATCTGAATTGATTTGTAATTTTCTTTATAATTTATTTGCTTTCCATAGTCAATGCTGCATGATGGAAAATGTGAATTGACTGCAGTCATCACAGAATTCATAATTGGGTCTGTAAAGTTTTGGTGATCGTCAAGAACAAAAATTACTTGATGCACTTTAGATTCTTCCTTTAGATACTTTATCAATCCATCTTGGTAATTTTTTGTTGGAGGTATACCTTGGATTTCTCTCCAGAATATGTAACTAAGAATGAATAAACTTATTAATTTCATTGTGTACAACTACCTTGTTTAAATGACACAATCAGACTGTTTTAAAAAAAATTGTGCGGTAAAGCAATATTTTTTTAGGAAATAAGGCAATCTATAGAAAAACATTAAGTAATTGATATATGTGATAAATATAAGTTAATGCTGGAAGATATTTATAAATGTATGCCTATATCCCTTTTTCCTGCAAAGAACGAAAAAAAAATAAATGTATTGAATTTTAAATGTCATAGGTAAATTTCAAATGTCTTATAATAAAATTGAAATAATGTAATCATATAACTTTTAAATTCATCAAATATAATACATTACATTTCAATTTCTTAATGTTTGATATATTTATATTGCCTTATTTCATAAATTATAGTATATAGCACAAATAAATTGCTTCCACAGTATAGATTCTTTAACAGTTAGTTTCCACTATTTGAACACGGTGGTTGTGCACAATGAAATTTGTAAACATATTTGTTGTTAGTTATATTTTTTGGCAACAAATTCAAGGAATATCTTCGAAAAATAATTCTTTTGATGGATTGATAAAGTATCTAAAGGAAGATTCGAAATTGCATCAGGTAGTCTTCATTATTGACGATTATAAAAATAATGTAAATCCATTTATGAATTCACTGATGACCGAAATAAATTCACATTTTCCATCTCAGAGTATTGGCTTTATGGAAATTATTAATTATTTACATTCATCAAGTAATAATAAAAACAGGTTATCCGAAATTGATTTTGAAAATAATGACTTCAGAGGATCTACTCTGTGTGTTCTACAGTGGGAATCTCGGATAAAACAGCATCATTACAATTATTTTATTTATTCATTATACGAACTATTTGGACAGAATATAATATATCCAAGATATTTAATTGTAAATCCTTATTCCACATATCAGAAATACATGGTTAGAATGTTGCAATCATTAGCAGATTATAAATTTTTGATAATTAATACATTAACATACAATGAAAGTGAAGACCAAAAAAATGTTAAATCACATTCTGAAAAATTTATTATTTTAGGAAAAACATATCCATTTACCAACCAATTTTCATCAGAGTATTTTTCAACATTTAATAGTAAATGGTTTCAAAATAAATTTCTAGATTCAAAGGGACAAAAACTGAACTTTAAGTATTATTATAAAGATACTTCATCCGCAGAAAAATACTTAAAAAATGTGAAATTATTGGAAACTTTTGGACAAGCAATGAATTTTGAAATTAAACAAGTACCATACGAAAAGCATTGGATTACAACCCACGACTCCTTGGGATCACACATAAGAGATTCAAACTATAATATTGTTATTGATATTTCGGAATTAACCAGAAAAGAATTTGGCTCGCCTCTAATTGCAAATCAAAAATATCAACAAGTATTAAAAATTAATGGCCTTAAAGCTGTTATTCCAAAAACGGCAAGATTCACTAAAGACATTCATCTTTCACCAGAATTTTGGTATATGTTTTTGATAACAATTGGTACGATTGTTGTTATACGATTCATAGCATTTTTGTTGAAATTCAATAGAAGTACATGGCAAACTTTAAACATCAGTCAAATTATAATGGGAATGGGTAGTTATCCAGAACCTGAGAATTGGGCGGAAAGAGCAATTTTTGGCTCCCTACTAATTACATGCATGGTCTATACAGGTTATTTTTACTCGGTAATTATCGATATCAGCTTTCGAAAGGCACCTGAAATGTCAACTATCGCTGAACTTGCTAGATCGGATTTGACACCAATGATGAACAAGGACGTGTATAGTATATTATATGACACTTCTAATTCTTATATTCGTCATATGGCATTTAGAACTATTCCCAATTTCCTTGAAGAAGAATTTTGTCTGGAAAACATGGCTAAAAATCAAAATATAACTTGTATTATTGAAAATGCTGAATATCATGTGAACAAATATGCAGCTAAATACGGGGAATCAAATTTTAAAATACTACAAGAAGTTATTGCAAATTCAGTGACTATTTTGGACTATTCATTTGCAACACCATATCTCGATCGAATTAATGAAATTATATTAAGAATTTCAGAATTTGGATTACTTAAAGATTTTTATAAATTAGATGTACCTGTACTAAGTAATATTTCAGCACCAGAAGAAATTTCAAAAGAAAAACTCTTACCTATACTACTATATGTACTTGGCATTGGATATTCTCTTGCGTTTATTGTTTTTATTTTTGAATTAATTCTCGGCAATTATAATTTTACATTTGTATAAAAGAGAAAGTTTTATTTTGATGTTGGAGAGAAACAAAAAAACATTAAATTCTTGATGCACAAAGAGCTTCTTTTAATGGGTAAAAAAATTTTAATTTTTATAGTTATTAAACTCTTATCACTGAAATTATTTATTTTAAAAAATGCTTAAAATTGTATCGCTAAAAAGTTAAATCGCACATAAAATATTAAAATTTCTACAGTCGTTTGAGTTTACTTCTAATTATTGAAAAAAGTATTTAACCCTAATAACACAAGATATCTTGGGATATATTGATAATATGTTGCAGATATCCTAGGGATGTCCTATGGATATCAAAAGGATCTCTTAAGGATATCCAAAAAATCGGCGGTTTGGATATCCTTTGGATATCCCATGGATATCTGAGGATATCCATAGGATATCTTCTGGATATCTCTATAGACTTTCATAAATGTCCTCCAGATATCCCATAGATATCGTCAGGATATCTCACAGATATCATCAGGATATCCCATAGATATCGTCAGGATATCCCACAGATATTTTCATGATATTCTCAGTATATCTTCTGGATGTCAAGAAGATATTCTCAGGATACTGTTTTTAAAGTCATTATCTGAGACTACGAGTGAGAATATTTTGTGAATTAAATTTTATATAAATAAAATAAAATGCAACTTGTTTTTCGAGAAAGTTGTTTAATTTGAAAAATTATTAACTAATTTTTTTCTCATTCGTGATTCATTCCTTTATTCATATGCTTAATATTGTCAGAAAATAAATTGGCTTTAAACAATATAAATTCTTCCCCGCAAATAACGAATAACTATTAATATTAATTATACATTAAGTGCATGAGTTTATTTAAAAACTTTGAAAAATGCGTTTCAAATCTTCATTTAAAATAAATTAGAAGCTCATAAGATTTTTGTTTTTATTATATTATTATTCATTATATTAGCTTAACAATTTTAACCTTTAAAAATATATGTTGAGATATTAAATATCCCGTGAATATCCTAAGAATATCCCACGGACATCCTGAGAATATCCTATGGATATCCTACGATATAATATCCAATAGATATTTTGTGGATGTCTTAGGGATATCCTGTGGATATCTTATGAATGTCCTGTTGATGTCCCACAGACCGGCGGTTTGGATATCCTAGGGATATCCTGGTGACCATTTTAGGATATCGACCATTGATATGGATATCCTAGGGATATCCTTTTGTTATGAGGGAAAAAATTATACGTTCTGCATTTTAGTGATTCAATTATTGTTATCAATTTATATATCTACACTTGACTTGATAATAAAAAAAAAATTGAAATCCACTTTATTATTGGTTATGCAGCAAGAAGAAAAAGAAATTCATAGGGACTGAAGAGAAATAATTTTTGGATTGTTTTGAATCTTCTCTGCTTAAAATTGGATAAAAACATTGTTTAATTTTAAAAAATCATGGATATGTGTGGTATTTACATCAATCAGAATTAAATTTTCGACCAATATCTACTGACAATTCATGTGGGAAATCATATGTGCAAATCATCTTAACGTGCAAAATCGTATACGTATTTGGAACAGGAATTAGAATATAAAAAAACGTAAGAATTATCATATTTATTCACATTATATTTTAAAATTATTTTCAGTAGAGACCCATCGATTTAATAATCAAAATTTTGTTGAAAGTTGTAAGGGTATAGAAAAGGTCAAAGTATGATTTATGATGACGTATACATTACTTTATTTATTAATCATATTAAACAGAAAGATATACAATATTTTCATTAAATTGTATTTGATATTAAAAATGGATATATGTATACCTAATAAAATTTAAAGCATAAAGTGATTCTAATGTAATTGAAATGATTGAGTAAAGTAATTTTAGTAATAATACAAATTTAACAAAATGTCAATATCGGTGATCAAAGTACTAATTTCTTTTATTGCTTTATAATATATGTTAAAATTAATCAATAAAATAATAACATGATTCTACTGTAATAACAATTTAAGTATAATAAATTTTAATACATATGCATATTATTACTTTCAATAAATGTTGTGCTGAAGAATTTATCAATTTTAAAATTTTACGTTATTTTGTTAGTTCTTGAATCTCTGCACCGACAAAAAAAAATTGTAAAAAATTTTATGTGATTTGTAAAAAAAGAAAAATTAAAAGAATTAAAGCAAAAAAAAAAAATATTATTCTGAAAATTTCCAGAAGGCATTTCAGTAGCTTCGTACAATAATATTCTACAATTATTATATATATTGTAAAGACTGTCGTCCATTTCTAGTCATTTTATAACATTGTAGTAATAAATATAAAAATTTACAATTAAAAATTTTATTTAATTTATGTTTAATAGTAATTCTGAAATTTTAAAATATTTTCGTCTTATTAAAAATATAATTTTTCTTAAAACCTATAATATGGTT